TGTACCTGGTGACTTTGTGGTGCAGTCACCTCTGGTTGTGACTTGAATTCGGTTATGTAAAAAGGGGTTAGTGATATTTCATTGCTGCTAAAAAAAAAAATAGCAACACCCTCCGTGTCCTTTGTTTTTCTTAAAGATCTCACTGTACAAGGTAAAATTTGGATACAAATGTGTACTGTAAGCACTGACAAAAAAGTTATCTTCTCTAAACCAGGTAAATAAGATGTGAAATTCTGCTCTTAAGAGTTAATTGAGGTGTATGGATGAAACATCTATATATGCAATCTGTTAAAAATACAACAACTTAATTTGGCTAATCTGAGCTATGATCTATGAATGCAATTGTTTCCCCTAATTTTGCAAAATAATATTTTTCAGCACGTGGTAGTGCAAGTGCACTATTCTTACATTTCATTCCCCCTCTTTTTGCACTCCCAGCATTAGTGTGTGCTGTTGTCTGCCTGATCCAGACAGTGTATTTGAAGTTTTGCCAATCTTTAATTTTTGAAGCCACAATTTTCTTCCTTCAAAGTTGCTATAGTAACTAGTATTTTAGCTGGAGATGCAAAATACAGTTCCCTCTGGGACCACTATTAAAACCACTGTTTGAAGAAGCCAGCAGGGAGATGCTGTGAATGGGTTGGCTTAAATGCCCCCTTTTTCTTTTCTAAAAGCAAAAATCCATAGGTTTTTGATCTTGCCTTGAGATCATTGGTGTCAGGCCTTTTAAATCAAATGTTTGTGGGTTGTTTGTTTTTTTTTTTTTTTTTTTCTTTTGGCTGTTTTTATATAAAAATGTCACCTGCTGTTACAACTGATATTAAACAAGCTACCTTAATTTAATGTAAGCCTCCAAAATTTAAATACAGGTTAAAAATAAACTGAGTTTATATCTGTAAAAATGAAATGCACATATATATATTATGATACTCAAAATGCAGTCTTCAGAAAATTGGCTTGTGTGGTGTGTTTTTTTGCATCAGCAGAGTAGCAGGAATTGGTGGTTTGGGGTTTCCTTGATGAGCTGACCAGCACCATGCTCTGCCTTCCATTTGTTGCACAACCGCTAGCGCTTCTCTGGGCAGGTGTAATGGGTTTTTCCAGTCCCTCCTCCCTGGTCTGCCTTTCTTCGGCAAATACATTACCTGCACACAGAGTGCTAATGTGAGAGACTGAGCCAGGACTATAATGCCACGTTGCCCTATCCGAATACCAAAGGGATACTTTAAAAGCAAATTGTGGACTTAAAAGGATGGATGTTGTACCTGATGTGAAAAAGCCTAAAATATTAAGCCTTGAATCGGAGTATCCATTATAGTAGTGGTACGAGAGCCACGGTAGTACTTCTGAATCTTTAGCTGACTGGCCAAGTACATATAGCAGAATTGTTTCTGGGTTGTTTTTTTTGGGGGGGTTTTGTTTTTTGTTTTTTTTTTTTTTTGTAAATGTGTAACTCATGAGCACGTACAGATGTACTCTGGCCTCAAAATAACCTCTAGACAAGGTTTTATTTTTGTAGAAAAGGGTGACAGACATAATTACAGCATGCCTTTTCCCGTGTATTCCTTGACCTTGAAAAATGCCCAGTTTGACACAAATAATGTCTGGACATCTGCTTGTTAGGTATCTGCTTATTTTGTTATGCATCCCAAACGATGTAAGAACCTTTTAGGACAGATGAGAGACTTCTGCCTCATGGCTGGAGGTGTGACAGAGCAGCAGTGAGAAGGCTCTATATACAAAGCAGATAGAAAAAAATTAGGGGAAAATCACCAATTTAGTGCCATTGTCATTTCTGGAACAGCTATATTTTTCAAGTCACAAGTCAAGGGAAGAATTTTATTTTGGTGTGAGGAATACAGTCTTACTTCAAGGGTGCTTTTCTGTGTCGCTAGACTGGTTATCAAGGAGCATCTTTTTTAAGAATGGATCTAGACCTTCACTTTCCTTTGCTCCAAGAAATGTATTTATATAAATTGCAAAACAATTTTGCATTGTTGTTGGTGGTGATAGTGCATTTTGTGATGCAATATATCAATTTCAGTGATACACTTATGTCAAATTTAAAATCGATCTTCCTCTTAGAACTTGCACTTACCCATTCCACGTTCAGGGATAATGCAACTCTAAAGGAAGAGCTGGAAAATTTAAAGCCTCTGTTTTTTCTATTATGGAAGATCTCCTTGGATTAATAAACATCTAAAGCAAATCCTTATCTTCACTTATTTCGGTGTGGTGTTTTGAATGTAGCTGTGTTCTTACAGTACTTGGGATTCCTGTTCTCGTTAACCTAGCTCTACGGTTTGTGTTTTCCTCTCAAATATTTCTTCAAGCAGTAATGTTAGGCACAACCACAGTTATCTTAACTGTTTTAAATACAAAAGGCTTACGTCATATGCTGTTTTTTAAAATGTCTATGTACTAGGTAAATTTAATACCCTTTTTTCCTGAATCATTTTAAAAGAATTATTAATAGGCATCAGCATAGTACAGCAACGCTCTGTTCAAATTCCTTGTAGCCAAGAATTAGTGCAAGATTCAAGACTTCTGCAGTGGATTAATTAAGAATACCCGACAATAAACATGCAGATGGTTTTAACCGTGCCTACTTACTGATATGTGCTAAATTTTATGGATTTTTATTTTACTGAAGGAAATTTCGTCCTCTTGCAACTACCAGTTCTTGAAGAGTATCAGCATGAAGTTTCTCAGTGCATTTTATCTTTGTATGCTTTTGTCGAAGTTCCCTTTCAGTCCCTCCTTACACGTCCTTTTTGTTGCTAACCATTTTTACCTCCTCAGCCTGAATTTGTCCCTCCATAACTCCCTGGAGATGCTGCTCAGAAACTAAGCACTTTGTACTTAGGCAGTTCCTACTGCAGGCGGTCATAGCCCTGCTGATGCTGTGTGTGTATTCAGCACTGAGACCCTCAGCTGCATCCTCTGGAGTTTTGGCAGGGGAACTGATGCGAAGGCCAGCAGCGCAGCCCAGGGACGGCTCCACGGGGGGCTGCAGGCTCCCTGGGGTAAGGACGAGGTTCCAGTCAGTGGTAGACCCAGTGTTGCCTATGTATGGGTTTTGACTTAACAGACAATGGTCAAGTTCAGGTAATGCTAGTTCAAACCTTGTACGGTGGTTAAGACTTCACCAGTTTTCCAGGACTTGGGCTGCTAATTAAGTTTTTATCTTTGGTATAGGATCAGCAGTGGATGAACACTGCTTCTGAAAATCTACGCAGAAGTGGGCATTTTGTTTATTTTAAAAAACATAGTTGGGAAGGGCACTACAGGTCTGTATTTTTGTGCGATACACTTGAAAGTTTTAACCTGAAAGCAGTAGTTAAAAAAAAAAAGGAAGAAAGGCTTATCAAAATTTGTGAACAGCATGGAAGGTCCAAGGCTCTCTAATTATAGTTACGCTGTCACAAACTATAGAAGAGCTGAGTACCTTGATCTGGGTTCTTCTCTTCCCTCTGCTCTGTGGGACCTTCCACATACCCAGAACGAGTAATGTGGAAAAACTTAATTTGTCTTGTAGTGTGGCACTCATTATGAATTACTTCACAATCAGTATGTGATTTATTTGACTTAAATGGTGTGACATTGCTTTGTACATTTCTGCATTTTACACCTAGGCATTCTCAGATGCTGATGCTTGAAACAGAAAACACTTCTGAAGGGCGAGTCCTGAGTTGTAGCATTTGACAAAGAGGTTTAAAAGTAAGCTATTTATAACATGAAGGAGTTGGTATACCCAAAACAGAATTTTATCTTGGGTATTTTGCAGTTACTGTACCTCAAATCAAACTGACTGCTGCAACTTGTATTTTTGGCAGAAGTTATCAATGAAGAGTCAGAATGAAAAACTTTAAGAAAGGAAAAGTGCTCTGTATTAGGCCTGTTTGGTGAGTAAGCTATCTTTGGCTGCAAGAATTTAGAACTATTATTCTGGCGTTTCGGGCAAAAAACCCCTTCAATGCTTTTGCATCTGTCACATTCATAAAAGTGAAGCAAGCCCTATAGAGCTGGGCCTACTGTCCTGTCAACGGTGATAGCTCATGTTAATTGCAGGTGGGTCGTGAAAAATCTGAAATAACTGTAACACCCTTTAATTACCTGTCCAGCTGTTGGTTGACTTTTAGACGTTTCTGCATCTAAAAATCACGTGAGGATAAAGATTCTCAAGTCTAGCTTTAAAAACAGAGCCCTTACCCGCAGGGGCTGGGCTGAAAAGGCTGCGTAAGGCACTGCGCCTGGCCGCTGGAGAAGGGCAGGATGCTAGCTCCTCCAGCCCCGTCTCGAGCAGTCTCCGGGCAAGGGCTCCGCTCCCCGGCTCTCTTCCAGCGGCCTCCATACCTCCCTCCGGTCCCACGCACCGCCAGCCGCGGACCCAGCGGGAAGCGCCGGCGTCGCTTGTGGGGGCCGGGGCCGGTGGGGCAGCCCGCGGCCCAGTCAAGAGCCCCGCTCTGGGTGCGCCCGGCGGCCCAGCTCCAGGCGCCGGCCGCAGTGCTGGGGGCGGCCGCCTCAGGGTGCGCCCGGGACCCGGCGCTCCCCTTCCTCGCCTCCTCCCGCCCCGCGGCCTGCGGCGGCCCCGAGCGCGCTTGCCACTGAGCGCCCTCCCCGGGGAAGGAAATGGCGGCCGCCGCCCGCGCTCCTCCGCTGACGCACAGGCGCCTCGCTCCCCGCGGCACAAAATGGCGGCGGCGGCGGCCCCGAACCCAGCATAACCGAGACGCCATGAAGCTGCGGGGCGGGGCCCCGGGCGTCTAGCCAATGGGCATTGGCGCGGGGCCTGGAGACGGCCAATGGCGAGCGGAGGCGGTGACGCACGGCGCGGCGCGCCCAATAGGAGCGGCGGGAGCGCCGGGCGCGAGGCCCGCCCGCGCGTCTCGGGGCGGTGCTGAGGCGGGCGGGCGCTGAGGCGGCCGTTTCCTGTCCTGGTGCATGGTGGTCGGACGAAGGAATTGTTGGAAAATTTCTCGGCGAGGTTAGTATATAAATGTGTTTTTACCCAGTGTGCCTTATTCTAACCACCGCCATCTCCGGCGGGGGCCGCCGCGCCGCGCCGCCGGCTCGGGCCTGGCCCTCCGCGCCGCGCGCAGGGGGAGCGGCGCGGGGCAGCGAGCGGCGGTCGCCGGGCAGCGCCGGCACCGACCGACACGGACACAGCCGCGGCCCCGCCGTCCGCCCGGCCCCTCCCCCGCCCGCCGGGCCTCCGGCGCCGCGGGGCGCGCCGGGCTGCCCGCCGGCCTCCCGCACCGCGCCCGCCCGCACCGCATCGGCCCGGCCCTCGGGGGGCCCTGGGCGCGCGCTCACACACACACACACATATATGCACGCGCGCGCGGCCCCGGACGCGGGGGCGCCCGTTGGCCGCTGCGTCACGGGCGGGGGCTGCCGGCGGGGCGGGGGGGCTGCTGCCGCGTTCCCTGCCCCGCTCCCGCCCAGCGACGCCCGGCCCTCCCGGGCGTACACTTGGGTGTAATTTAAGTTTGAATACCTTTTCCAAAAAAAAAAAAAAAAAAAATCTGGTGTTTCTATTTTGGCGGAGGGTCAACTTGCAAAGCGGCATCAAAACAATCGTCTTCAGAGCTCTCTCGGCCTAATGCGCGGCTTGACACGCGCGATTGAGAAGGAATAATTCACTGTTCTTGCGCGAAGTTGTTTATTTTTAACGTTGCTGTATTGTAGCACCGTGAGCGCGGCTGTTGCCGTGCTAACACAGGAGAAGGTCCTTGCATGGAGCTTGTGAAATGGGCTATTTTAGTTCATCTCTTTCAACTCGGCACAATACCGTGCAAAGTAATTTTAAACGTTTTACAGCTTGCTCTCATCGTTTCATTTAGCACTTGCCTAGAACTTCTAATAGAACAGGAGAATGAGAAGTTACTCCTCTATTACCTGCAGTAACGCAAAGATTTTTTTTTCTTAATTTTTCTCATAAGGTCTCGTTTGCAGTACCTGTTCATCAAGAAAAAATGACATGACTTTTCATACAAGCTAAATTTTCTGTGAAAACAAGCCTACAGTTGAGCAGCTCCTCTTACTTATAGCATCTTTTAATAGTTTGCTTTGAACTACCGAAGAATTATATTTGACGTTATATGCAGAGTGATATGACTATGTTTAAGGAGTGTTATTTCTCTTTCCAGTCATACATAAATGTCAACCCTACAGTCTTTCAAAGAAAGCGTTTTGTCTTGTCACAGAGTTCTCGCATGGTTCTGCATTGGGTGTTGTAAATCTGTAACGCTTTGAAGGACTACATACCAGATACTTCTGTCCTAGCTTCAAGGTGATTGTACCTGAAAAATTAAATATGTCCTTAACTAGTAGCTTTTTAAGAGAAGTAGTATCTGTGTAGTATATCATAGCTTTTTTGTGTAAGTGTACTTGCTATACAGCTGTAGAATGGCAGAGCACAACATAACTGTTTTTGTGGCTTTTTATTTTATGCATTAAAGTCAAGCTTTCAAGCTATATCTATGTCAGAAGCTATTCATCTGAATCACTGCAGAAAATGAAACAGCAATATGTAGTCAATAAATGATTGTTTTGGCAATAGAATGCGGCTTAAATGAGATGTAAAAATAAACATTTTAAACAGTTTTGAGTAATGTATTTCAAAATGTGTAATTTGCATAAATGGCTCTCATTGTAATGAAATGGTGTTTCATTTCTAGTATTCTGTCTGAGGAAGAGTTCTGTCTTAGAGGCTCAAATAAAGTAAATGCTTAAGTGTAAAAATTACTTTAGCTAGAAAGTCACACAGGCTTCACTCTTCATGAGTGTGTAGCTTTTGATGCTTAAACGTCAGCATACTTCTGTCATGAGCTGGCAATGCCTTTTCTCAGAGAAGATGGGCGCAGTGGTAATAGTGATGATACTCCCTGGTAATGGGTGCCAAAATTAGGCTGTAAATTTGGTTTTGTCTCTAGAACATATAAGATTATTTACTGCTTCAGCACAGAAGACTGGCCCATATTTTGCTGTCCTGTAGTGTGCAAGAGAAGAGAATTAGTAGGAGTTTGAGCCGTGAACAGGGTGTAAGCAGGCGGCTGCTGCTGTGTCTGCTGGCAGTCGCTTCTGGTGCTGGGCTGCCCGCGAGCTGCCTTCTCACCAGCAGTTCTGCTGCATGCGCAGTGGGATTAGGCTGAGGGTGCCTCCTGCTATGTTTGAGCGTGGTAATGGTCTCTCCCCGGACACCATATTTTCTGGGCATTGCTTAAAACACCATGCTTGTGTTCTTGCAGACTTATGTATATTGCCCTTAATAAAATGTATGGGTTTTGTTTTAAAGCTAAAGAGACTATGGTTTTCCACTGGGCTGCTTCTCTTACAGTGTAATCGGGCTTCATTTAGAGTGCAAGATATTGATCTTTCCCTGCTGTTGCATCTTGTCTTGGCCTTAAGAGTTTTGGGTTAAAGCATGCTCAGCATAGGTGGAGTCTTTGAGAAACACTGTTATTAAATTTTGAGGAGTCTTTAGTTGGCACCCATGAAACTATTTGTTTTCCTAAGCGTAGGGCTCAGCTGAATTTGGATGGGTTTCCACACGCAAAGTGAACAGCACATTCCAGATAATAAGGGCAATTCTTCCAGTTTCAGGCGTTGTTTTGGACAGAATGCAAATGTGAGGACGACCTAACTTGTCTTGGTGTTCTTACTTACAGTCCAGTTCCTTCATTACTTTCTTCCTGTCTGCATTTTGACTTGGGCCCTCAACTTTGATCATCCCTGTGATTTCTGCTTATGCTATCTTTTGTAGCTCCTGCTGCCTCTGTGTACGTACGTACCATAGCATCCCAGGCCAACCTTTGTTTGCCTTTCCTCGACACTGGCTTTTTTCCTGTATTGTTTTATCTCCTACAGCTCAACAGCATGCTTTCTGTTCTTTCTGCATTAATAGGTGGGCAGTGTGGTTTCTTTGTCTCTTCTGTGCTGCAAGGAAATCGGTGCACCTAGTAAAGAGGAAATGAATTGGATAGCCTATACCTGTGCCTTGTGCCGCAAAAGATCAAAGGAAGGTTTCTGCTTAACTTGGGGATCCCTAAGGTGGATCGTGATCCCAACAAATGGATCCTCTTCTGGAATCTGAGAATTCAGCCCTGAACTGCAAGTTCTTGTAAATAGAGGTGTGCATATTGTTCTGTGGATGAAGTGAGGAATCTGAGAGAGGTGCCTGTCCATGGACACCACGTTTCTGGGGAAGGAGGGTAAAGAAGCCTTATGACCTGCCATGGCACAATGGGGTTTATGGGGTTCTGCCTGTACCTTAGGTCTGTAACTTGATCTGCTTTTAGTTGTATTTACTTAAGGGAAATACGGTTTTGGTCCTCTCATTCTGTGCACCAGGAATTGTTGATCAGTTACAAGTGGAATTGGACCAAAGTGAATGCTAGCAGATTTAGTCTGCTAAAATTTTCTGGGTTACACTGTTTTTTAAATTGTATAGTTGGATTGTACTTTGCTCCACCAAGATAACACTTGTTAAATAAACGAAGTTCTCGCTTTTTAAGGGAATTTACAGTTCCAGCAAGTTCTGAAATATTCAGAGTCGACATCAAAGTTACAAATACTTATTGCTTCTCTCAGTCTGTATTGTCTGCTGAATGTTTTCCTCTGTGAATACTTCTTGAGGGGAAAACTGTTACCTGCTTAATGCTTTTGGACTTGCCCGTATCTTAAGTATATTCATACTCAGCTAACGTGGTATTACAGAGTTTCTTAGAATGTATTTAGACGTACTGTTTTTCAATTTACATTTGTAATTGTTCTTTTTTTGCAATTCAGTGTAAAGGTCTGCAATTCAGTAGGCTGTCCATTTAGTTCCTGAAATACAATTACAGACTAAAACACTGCTGTTAACTGTCATAGCTAATACTGATACATCTGTAATATAGTTAGATTACTAATTAACTCATAACCACACAAAACAACCCACTCAAAATTCCTGTTTTGTTGGCATTCTGAGCAGATTTGCAGGATTTGAAGGGGAGCAGCCAGGTTTGTTTTGGTGATGTAAATTAGACACATTTGTGATTGCTTGACAATTGAGAGTGTTAGAAGTCTGTTTGACATTAAATTAAAACATTGCTAGAAATAGCTAGTCTCAATTGTTTTCAGATTTTTAGCCCTGAAGTATTCACCTATTCATCAAATGTTCCTTGTTTTGTTTAAAACATGCACCGATATAACCAGTGGTTTTATGATTTAAGTAGCCTCCTGAAATGCTTCAGAAGTTAACTGTTTTATTTTTACCTGCAGAGAGGCATTACTGCTCTTATCTAGGAATAATTTGAATACAATTCCGACATGTCATCTGGATGCCTTCTTTATATAGCCAGTATTTTTGTGTATATGTACCTGATGGTAAGAAACAAATCCCAAAAGCCTGTAGTTTTGAAAAACACGTAGGTTCATCGGTTAAGCACTTTAAATCTGTTTCTCACTTTCTAATTGCCAGAGGGAAGAGCCATGTGGAATGGAATCTAGAGCTTTATCTCACTGACATGTGCTGAAAAATTATTTAGTTTTGTTGGTTTTGCTTGTCTGCTTTGTTTGTTTGTTTGTATTTTTTTTTTTCAGCTTTGTTAATCACATCCTCAGTTTTTCAAGTACAAAACATAAAATCAGATAACGTACCATAGGGTCAGCTTTTTTCCGATCTTAGGCCCAACATTCAGTTTCTGAGCATGCATACTTTCTTAACTATTAAAACAAAGTAATCTATTACCATTCTGTCTGCAATAAAGAAATTGAATTTTTTTATAAAAGAAGGTATGTCTGAGCATTGATAATAGAGGTTTGGCTGGGAGAGAAGAAATGTATCTTAACTTCGAGCATGGAAGACTGAGTTCAGAGAAACGTGCTGGCTTTGTTTTGATAGGTGAGTTCACATTATTCCTGTTGCAATACTCTTGCAAGCCATTCTGTGCATGCACACGGTACACAGGTGTTTTCAGTCAGTTGAATTTGATGTTTTGGTACAGGTTATATGGCACTTTCTCATGCTAAATCTATATGGCAGTGTACTAAGAATAACTGGCTCATTAGTGCATTCATCGTTGAGCAGGTGCATAAGTATACTTTTTTGTACTTTAATAAAGCTTTAATTTCTGGTCTCTGTACCTCTGCGAACGATGCTGTATGGACCTCAATTGATTGTTGCCTTCTGTTCAGGATTTTTTTAATTGGATTTCTCAGAAAACTCCCAAATCCCTTTCAGATCTCTGGCTCAGAAGGCCGTGCTGGTCATTCGGGTAGTTGCTTAGAAGCAGTGCTGTTTCAATAGTGCTGTCCAAGGGCTATATATGACCTTTGAACTAAGCATTTGCAGGTGAGGTGCTTGTCCCAGAGCTGCAGCATTAGTTTAATTAGCTTTCTGTCAACACTACTGACAGTTAATATGCTGATGGAACTACTCTGACTTACATTGATTAACCACGATTTTTTTTCTTTAATATGTTCAAAAAATGTGAAATTAGCAGTCGTAGTTGCGATCAACCTGAGTCAGCCCTGCATGTGTAAGACTTCTTGGTGGGTGGCTTTCTGATCTGCCTACACTTTTTCTAATTGCAATACTAAAATCATAGCATTCTTAGCACTTCTGCAGTGTTAAATTGCACACATACGTATATGCATAATCGCATAATATTAGTTGGTGTAAGGAGCTGTAAAGATTCTTTATGGTTAATCAATTTTTTTTTTCCTATAAAATGCAAGCATTGATCTCTGACAATACTTTTAACATTCACTATTTGTAGATGTAAACTGAATGTATGGTGATGATTTTGGCAGAAAAAGTCTGCTGGAACATAATTATGTGAGGCTAAATGTGGTTCTCACTGCTTACACCGAAGTCAGAAGAGTTGTGCTTGGTTATGGCAGTGATAAATTTGGTATTGCATTTATATGTTTTTTGTGAAGGAATACCAAAGTCCGTGGCAGTGAATGTCTGAAACTGCGTTATGATCAGGATATCTCTCTGGTGGAACAGAAAGGTTGGAATACTGCAAAGAGTAAAAAAGAGCCTTGAGTTTGACTGCAAACCTCTGCTTTGGGCAACACAAGTCTCTGCAAGTTTGCTGTGCTGCCACTTGGAGTGTATGCATCATGCTTATGCAGTGGACAGTGCTGTCAGTCTTCATTAGGTTCTTCGCCAGGGCCAGGGTTAGAGCCTGTGGTTCATAATTCACAACACTTCTTTGCTGTGTAGAAAACAGTTGTGTAATTTGCTATTAAATTGCGTATCTTACCCCTCTATCTGAATCCAACTATTGTTACCAGATTTTTTCAGTAGGGTTTTATGTTCTGTGTTTCAGCCTTGTTTCCGTTTTATATAGTGGATGATTAGCGTGGTGGAAATTGCTGTTAAGTAAGTTTTGCTTGGTTTTACAAGAGACTGGAAAAAAACCACAGTAAAAGAAGTTAAGTTTATAGGAGAGAGAGCATAGAAATTTAGAAAGGCCTAACATTAAGCAGTTTGTTATGTTTATTTACTAAAAGTCAACCTGACTAATTATAGCATGAAATCAATGTTTCAGTGCAGTGGTAAAACACTGAAAAGGGTAAAGGCTGTCGATAAAGAAATCCATGTCTCATCTCTTGAAGCATTTGATCAAAGCATCCACAGGTTCTAGATTTCATTTCTGACCCTGCTCCAGATTTCCACTGTAATACTGGAAAAGATTATCATACAGGTACATATGGGAACATATTTTAGAGAGCCTTAGTTCTGCTATGTTTTTATCTTTGAGCTTACAGCTGTCAAATGCCTTCATGTAGTAAGTAAACTGTATACTTGGGTCCTCTAAAACAACTTTCTCTAGACTAGTCAATTTTTCCATTGATGTCAGTGATTTTTTTTGCTGAGACCTAGAAGGCTGTAATGCATATTATCAGTTGAAGTGTATTTAACCAGAATGTTAATTGTAGGTACTAATTTTGATTTTTCACAAATTTTTGTTAATCAGACTAGTCTCGAAGTTACTCATACTTGTGATCATATCAATTGTTGAAGGACCCTAATGCAGCTAGTATTTAATTCAGAAAAACCGTAACTGTGTTACTGTGCTGACGAACTGGTTTTGCAATCCAGCTGTGTCAAACATAGGAATGCAATTTCCTAAAATTCCTTAAGGGAGGTTTCAGTATTGTGGTGTTATGTGTCATTTGCCATTTTAATTTTCTGGATTGGTTTTTATTTGTTTTAATAAGTTTTATAGAACTATGTTTTTGTACTCTGTGATTGTATTAAAAAAAGTAATGTCTATTTTCAAATGAAATAAATGGATATTATTTCATACTACTCAGTGCTGTTTGTGCAACGAAGGTGAACAATCACAAGGTTGCCGAATGTCTGGAGTAGCTTTTTTTGTCTGTCTTTCCCAGTTTTCCTGTGTATTCTAGATTGCGTTTTATAACCATAAACTGTATAACCGACTTCTTCCATGACTGCTATTACGAACTTTATTCCATTTCCTCTTAATCATCCTCTAAGCATCATTGTTTTCTCTAAGGAGTTTTTGCTACTGTCACTGCAGGCTTTTAATTTGTCCAGCGGTACAGTGATATAATCATTCTTTAAACAGCAATTTCCAGCTGTTACTTGCCACATTCTCCACTACACGGGGTCTCTTCATGCTGTCCTCTAAGCTGCCGGAGTTCCCAGGTGCCCTAAGCCTACTTTCTGCTCCATGGCAGCATGTCCTCTACCAGCTCTTGCTTTTCTTTCCAGGTGCCTAAATCCTACCTGCAGCTTCTTTGTTGTTTGATTCCTAGTTTTCAGCGGAGGCTCCTGTTCCCAGCTGCTAGATTGAGTTGACATAAAAACTTAGCTTTTAACATTGCATCTTTTCTTCAAACAAGTGACAGCACCCAAAAGATTATATGTGTTTGAGTATTAGTGGAGGGAAAAAATATAGGAGGCATTCTCTAGATAGGCGTCTTCATGAAAAATCCTTTATTTTTAACCAACCTCTCATCCCCTCCCACTCATCCCTCTGTTTTCTGAGTGCTGAGCATTTAAAGCATATTTGAGTTCATGGGGTTTTTCTGTTCAGAGAATTGGGGGGGGGGCAAGTAATAAAAAATAGCACTTAGATACACTTACATACATCATACTTCCTCTATTAAAGTTAGATTGGGGGTCTACATTACTGGTTCAGCTTTTGTGAAAAAGCATAATAAAGTCAGCCGTGCACATCACTAGCTGCTTTTGCTTTGTAACTAACTGTGTGAGACTTGTTTCATCCTCACTTCTTGCGACTGGCTGTTGCTTCCTTCTTTCAGACACCTTTCAGCTCCAAGATTTTTCAGTCTAATAATTTTCTATCTCAGGGTGATTTTTTTGTGTGAAGTATTTTAACTATCTTGAAGAATGGAAAGATTTTTCTCAGCATGAATACCATAGGAGTATTTCGGTGACTTATTATTTCAGGAATGCAATATGCATTACTGTCCTTATGAAAGTCTTCCCAAATATCATTAACATGCCTTTGAAAATTGCAACTGGCATATGATCTGTGACGATTTACAAGTGTGCACAAAGTCAAGTCTCAAGTTTTCACTTCAGTGGGTACCTCATGACTAAGCCTGTACTTTAGTGTCTTTTCTGTAGGACAGTTCTTGAGATTAGGCAGAATACACACACATCAATCTTGTTGAGCAGCCATGCGGGCCCCACCCCAGGGTTTATGTATTTTTCTAAAAATTGATGCTTTCAGCTGCTTTTTAACTAATGAGGTGCAATATTTGAAGTGGGAAAAGGAAATATTTATCTCCCAGCCTCTTACTGACAAAATTCCTGGCAGACAGGAGTTTTAAAAAAAAAAGTTTAGTGATGCAGATGCACAGAAATAAAAGCGGTGAGGTGGATTAGGGGAAGGAGTTGATGACATTCAGATGGGGAGAAGGGTGAAACAAATTTTCTGGAGGCTGAGGAGAAAACATTGTATAAGCCAGCAGAAAAAGGGAAGAAGAGACGATGAAAGCAGACTGGTTTCAGAAAAACAAGGCAAATGAATAAAGATATGATAGGAGACTGGATTTGTGGCATGGATGATGTACCAATAGTGTGGTGATAGTGTTTTAAATGGATGCAATATCAAAATGATTAGATATAATAGAACAGTTTAAGTTGGAAGGGACCTCTAGAGGTTATGTAGTCCAGCCATGATTAAGAAAGGTCTGATTAGACCAGGTTGCCCAGGCTGTGTCAAGTTGAGCCTTGAAGGCCTACAAGGATGGAGAGGTCATAACCTTTCTTGGCAATCTCTTCCAGCATTTGACCACTCCTAGAGAGGAAAAACATAGTAATGCTGTAGCAGAGGTATATCTCTGACAGTCTGACCCATTTCTCTACAACACAGACCAACTTTTACATCCTCTTTAGTTCTTCCCCCATCCTCTTCCTGAGAGCTGATAGTGCTGCCTGATTAGCCTGGTTTTTTCCACTGGGGAGGAAGAAGAGAGGCTGAAATTGAACAGCACATCCACTTCTGGCTGAGGGTACTGCTCCCAGTGCAGCAGAGTAACAGAGCAAAACTTACACATCACCAAAGAGTGAGTAAAAGCTGGGGTTTTGCTATTTGGGCAAAACATTACATCCACTACAGGGGCTGTGCTTCTAAGATGGGTCTGAACATGAATTGTCTTGAGTCAGAGGTGAGAAGGTGATAGACAATGGTGTGATGGATGTACAGAGCAGAGCAGCAGTAGGAGAAGACTTGAGGACTGGTTGCGGAAGTAGTTGATGTGGACATGGGACTATTAGATTATTTTGACAAGAAGGCTGGGAATACATTCGAGAAGAGGGATGTGCTGGAATTTTGGTACCCTGATAGGACTGGTTGAAGAAGGAAACTGGTACTTCAAGGAGAAGGGATGGAGCTGGAGATAAGTTAGTGGGAGGACAGAGGATCGGAAGGAGGATATATTGGAAGGGATAATTTTAAAGGAGTCAGAATTGGGAGAAAACAACAACACAGTCTAAGTTACAGCACATGATCATACAGATCATCTGGAATAGGGGAAAGTAGTGAACGTTCTGCTGTGTGCAGCAGTTCACTCTTGATTTTTTTTTTTTCTGTGTGTGATAACTATTAATCAGCCACACTACAATAACAAACACTGTATATTAATTTAAACACGTTTGCTTCTGCGGCCCTTGAATTTATCTTGCATTAATGATTTTTTTTGCTTCCAAAATAGCCATTGACCCTTTAAGCAATAGATTCTGCTCAGACCCTTTCATGACTTCGCACCTGTCTGAGTTGAACTAGCTTCTTCTCTAATTCCCCAGAGCTGAGAGAAGAGGCATAAGCTCTGGAGGAAGGGCATTATTCTATTTTAAAGGGAGATAGTATATTAAAGATACTGGGGGCTTCTTAAAGGATACTCTGTCTAACAGAGGGAATGCTCTAAAGTAGACCTGAGCTGAAAGGCCTTTGAGATGCAGTCCCTGCTGGAATTGTTTCAGTCAAAACCACTGGTTGTGTAGCCTTTCTTCTCCAATGTGTGAAATGCTCTAGCTGCTTTGCATCCTACTTCCATGAGGTGTCCTGAAGATTGAGTGAATGGAAAACATTGACAGTACAGAACACTGTTAGCAGTTTAGAAAACAGACAACCTCTGTGTACCACTAGCATCTAATACCATCATTACTTACTTTAACTTGCTACAAGCTGGCAGTACCTCCAGAGAAGCAGTCCTTGCAAACTGGTCTGGCATAAGACTTTTCTTAGTGCTAGTTTATTTTTTTTTTAGCTGCATCAGTTTTCCAATTTTATTTGCTGCACAGTACATGAACACTGAGGGTGGAGCAGCTTCACGTCAGTGCTTGTTTAAGCTGATCCTGTAGCTACAGCATGTTGCTCCGTTTTTGGTTTATAACCAAAGCACTTTTTAAGTGTTTTGTCCCTATTTTGAGGTAGGGAGGATAAATGAGTAATAGGGAAAGAAGTTACTAGTCCAAAGTCACGGACATGGAGATGGCAGAGGAGGGAGTTGAACTCAGGATTTCTTATGTCCTCATACAGTTCCTTGCTGTTTAGATTATAGTATCCAAAAAAACTTAGCTATTTCATTTTCTTCAGAAACATCTAGTATAAATGTGACTCAGTCTGGATGGTTCTTCTGCACTGGCTCTTATTCTGTTGTATTACATCTCTTTTAGAGACCTCATTTTCTATAAAAGCTTATTTTAAAAAGTATGATGGGAACAAGAATTTCCTATCTTTGCTTGGATGTTAAATCTCTCACACCTCTTTTGAATTCTGTTTTGGTTTCTGTCTTAACTATATATTTTTTTTGATGCTCAGAATTGTTCAAGGTTCAGGTTTTCTATTCTAAGCCTACATTTCAATCTCCTTAATGTTCCAGCTAGATATTATGCAGGATTTTATGTGGAAGGCGTATGTCTTACTGAATTATAAACTGATCATTAGTGGTGGGTTTCTCTTATATGATTTCTAGTGTAGTGCATGAAACAAGCTTCCTGTAAAAACCAGTATGTTAAATCCTTTCTAAAGCCACCCCTTCCACTTTCTTTGTCAAACTGCATCTGTTCCATTAACTGAGCTCTTAACAGTTAACAAAACTGTCAGTAATATTCTCACACATGCCAAGGTAGTTTAGATTCCTGGTCCAATTTCAAGAGGTAAGTGTGGGTACCTGGTATAACATCACAGTAAAAGTTAGCAGGGTTTGGACCGTAGAGACACATTTGCTTTCTGCCCAGCACTTGGATTGAAGCGCTTCAGATGGCAAAAGCAGCAGAGCTGCAGCAGCTGGGTGTCGGTCAGCTTTTTCTCTGCTGAGCCTAAGAAACTTCTGTAACTGCCTGCCTCACTAGGAAATAGTCTGGCTCAAAGTCACTTGGATGCATTTGGAAAATATTACTTGGATGTTATTTTCAACTACTAAGTTAGTGTTCCAAACCTTTTAAATACTACAGGCATGCTAGAGTACCTATATGGTACTGCTTTCATTATTCTTTAGTTTTATTATTTAGTTTCATTTATTTTTGCTTTCATTATTTGGTTTTGACATAAGCATGAGTTTCTCAGTGGTCTTAGAGACCATTGATGAGTTGCTCATTCAAGGGCAGATTTCAGGATTGTACAGGTAAAAACAGTTCAGTTATTCAGAAATGTAATCATAGGTAAAATTAAAAACCTGGATTATTCTCAGCCTTGAATTACAAAATAGCAGGTCATAGAACCATACTAGCTTTGATTGTTTATCTGTAACCTTTGTGTGAGATTATATATCTGCTTCTTATTGTAAGAAAAAATCTTGAATATCAAGAGGTTGGGTTGAGGGAAAGTTGCTTTAATACTATGTAGCCTAGATAGCAATTCCATGTGACTTTTTAATTTATTCCCCCCCCCCCCCCCCTTATCTACATCTAAATATGTTACATTATCTAAAGGGCTTGCAGAACTCAGTGACTCTTTTTGGTTTGGTTTTGAGTTTTTAATTTTTTTTTTCCTGTGGTGAAAGCCAGCATTAGAGTTAGTAGAATGCACTGTTACATATTTTTACTGCTTTATAGCTTCCTAATCTAGTAACACTGAAAATTAGTATTAGCCTTTGAGATTCAGACTTCCTAGTCTCCCATATTGAAACATGTCTGGGTGAAACATTAGTATCCAAAGAGATGGCTATATCTGGTTTCATGAGATACATGCAAAGTTGTGACTGTCACTCACTAATCAATATCCTGTTGTCTTATTGATAGATTTTATTATGAGATGCTTTATAATATTCAAAGAGAATTTTTTTTTTTTCCAACTAGAAACCTTCCTGGAATGTTTAGGGAAATTGGTAGATCATTCAGTCAGATTTACTGAAGAAGTGTCTATTTCCCAGTGTTTCGTAGATTCTAAACCTCTTAATGGCGTCAGGGAGATGTTTAACTTATGTGGTTAAAGGCCTGATGTTGTCATGGGTGACCGTGAGTGAATTGTCAGCTTTATTTTAATTCTTGGGACAAAAAGATACCATTACTTTTACTGTCATTACCATCATTATTCTTTATACACTGGTTGAATAGTTCATATTTAACTGAAATCTAAATGTGGTTGATGCACTTCAATTTAGTAACTGCTACCTGAAGTTCTTAATAGCTTAGTTAATTGGTTGACCTATTAATTTACCTATTTCAAATAACTTCTTTTCCTCTGAAGTATTTTCCAGGTAAGTCAGTCATTCATTGCATCTTGTTTATGTGGAAGGTTACATAAAGTATTTGCAGCAGCTATATAAAAATCTAATTAAACTTGGATTGTCTTTAACTAGTTCTGGTTTTGTATCTAAATTTTCTATGTATGTTTTGTGAATACTTTCTTTCTAGGTAGACAATGTTATTAGCTCAGATAAATCGAGACTCTCAGGGAATGACTGAATTTTCTGGAGGAGGAATGGAGGCCCAGCATGTGACTCTTTGTCTAACAGAAGCTGTAGCTGTGCAAGGTGAATCTTCAGATTAAAATATATTGACATTATTGTGTCTTTTATTTGAAATTCAGATAAAACTCCAAAACTCACATTGTGTATTCTAAATGAAAAATCTAACACAAATTATTCTTAGCTAACTGAGATTAAGTTCACTAATTTAATTCTGAAATGAAACAATCTCTTAATTAACATAATAAGAGTGTAAATGTGCCCAAATAATAAAAAGAAAATCTGGGTTTATTCTTACTATAGTTTTACTAATTTATACTTTGTAACTTCAGCTTATGTCTAAGCATATATTAAACTAGTTGAGTTTTAAAATAGATTGGTGATCTAGGGTCAGTTTAAAATTGATGTTTTCTGACAGCTTTATGATGTTATGTGATTAAAAACTTTTCCCTAAATCTGTTTTAGTCTAAATAAATTTGTGTATATTGATGACAGGTAGTAGTGCTCAAAACAACTCATGACCTAATTAATATTTCTCCTAAAACCTTAGCATTGTAGTTATCTATTCAGTAACTTCATAAATGTTTTAGGTAAGAGAAATAACATTCTAGCTGTCGTGTTTACAGAGCAAAATCTAGAATATCGAACCCTAGTATATGTTCAAGGTTCAAAAGCTAGAAAGCAAGAAAACTTCTCTATTACTATTTCTGAAATCATGCTTTAAGGGAAGGTTAACATTTATGGAGGTGATTAAGTGGTGATTTTTAGGGTTTGATGCTGGTAATAGTGAATATGAACTTTTTTCCATGCTAGATGGCGACAACTTGGAAAACATGGAAGGTGTAAGTTTGCAAGCAGTTACCCTTGCTGATGGCTCCACTGCTTACATACAGCACAATTCTAAAGGTAGGTGAATGACTAGAAGTAGATAGGTATAGAAATAGTATTCCCCTTTTTAACTCCGTTTTTGGATTGTAAACCTGCTTGGATTGTAAAGTCAGGTAAAAACTGTACAATATTTATGAAGTTCCAGTTCCAACTGGGAATTACAGGTATTACAGTAATGCTATAAAATAAATATTTATTTCTGATACTAATAAGATGCAGGTATCAAATGCAGAACATAAGTCAAACAAAAGTGAGATGATCTTTATACTTCAAACTCACATATCAACATTCTACCTACTGGATATGACATCAGGCCTTTTCCATTTTTTTATCCCAGAATTTTAGAGCCTCTGTATAGTCATACTGTGCTTACTCTTTACCAAACATTATTTCTCTGTGCTATTTCAATCTAGAAAGTATCAACTCTGTGTTTAAATTGTGATGTGTCATATGGAATAATTTTTAAAAATTCTAATTGTGTATTTCAGATGGTAAATTAATGGATGGCCAGGTGATTCAATTAGAAGATGGTTCTGCAGCTTACGTTCAACATGTACCAATGCCTAAAAGCAGTAGGTGTACTAATACAAGAATCTATTCTAAAATAATGTATTACTGATAAATACTGATATTAAATAAGTAGCAGTCCTTATAATAGCTTGATAACTCTTTGTGAAGAGATCCTAGGTATTTTGTAGTCCTAGGTATTTCGTGTTTAATCTTTCCAATCAATGTTTTTTTCAAACTATTGTTGAAGTATTGTAATTCTTTCTTAAAACAGGGGACAGCTTGCGCCTGGAAGATGGACAAGCAGTTCAGCTGGAAGATGGAACTACGGCATTTATTCATCACACCTCGAAAGGTAATTTTTTTTGAAGTGTGATTTATTACATTAGAGTTCAGCAGAACTTCAGCAATATAAAATATGGTACTGTTTTTAGACTTACGTGATTTAGAGTGATTCCCCATGTAGATTACTTGTTGCTTTGATTTTGTGATATCTAGAAATTTTGAAATGAGACTAGTTCAGTTCCTTATTTGAACCTCATGTAACAGTTAGAATCACAACCAGCATGTTTCACTTTTAATGTGATCCTGATCTAAAAAAAAGAGCAAGTATATGTCATATTAGTAGAGAATGTAAGCTCTTATACAGATTTTAGCAATAATTTTACGTGAAAATGTGGAGAGAAAGCAGGTAAGAATCAATCAATCAATCCCTCTTGAGCTGAAGACTGTAGAGACTGATTTAAATTTTAAAGATAGTGCTATTGATGATTTTGCCATTAGGTAGTAGGGCAGAAAATGTGACATCTGACAGTCAAGAATGCAAACGTATTTATTTTAAATGCTAACTTATATTTCTGCAGAACATGATTACACTAGTCTTGGAAATAGTACTACTTCTCTTCAGAAAGTGATCAAGTAGATATTTTAAGTATGTTTAAACTAGCATCACATTCTACAAGAATTTAATCAGTGATATTCATAGTAATATTTTAAATGTTTGTATTTCTCATACTAGTGGTTGTATTTTTCATACATTTCATACATATATATGACTTCAGGAGACCTTTTCTAAACAGCAGTAGCTTCTTATGTAACATGCAGGCATTGCTACTCCTTTTCTTTCATAACACTTTGTAATGTTATTTCTCAGATAGTTACGACCAGAGTGCATTACAAGCAGTCCAGCTGGAGGATGGAACTACTGCCTACATTCACCACACAGTGCAGATGCCACAGTCAGATACCATTTTAGCCATTCAAGCTGATGGCACAGTGGCAGGTCTTCATACAGGAGATGCTGCCATTGACCCAGATACCATCAGTGCTTTGGAGCAATATGCAGCCAAGGTATACTGAAAGACATTTTCTCTATCCATAATGTTTTAATACAGCAGCACAAGATATTTGGAAGCAAAATCCAATTGTGATCTAAGAATTAAAATAATAATTAAGAGAGTCTTAAGACTCTTAGAAGAGAACACCAAATTATTGTGACAATACTTTGCTATCATGAGCAGCTGCAGTGTCTAGTGTTGCATAAAAAGAGCAAAAGATTGAACAGTGATTTGGAAAGTGATTTAGACAACTAAATAATAATTTTCTCTAAAATACAGAATTGTAAAAGAGCCTCTTGAAAAGACCCTGTTTGGAAAGAAGGACAAAGTTAAATTATTCTTATTCAGACACTGTTGCTGGACTTTTATTTTTTTTTTTCTTGCCTTGGGAAGAGTAGGGCCTGTTGTACAGATGTTTACTGAGTTTGGAAAAAAACTTCTTTGATCCATACTTTCAATAATAAAATGTAGTATGATGCTCAATATTAATGTTGTCCACTTTACTGGACTTCTGTAAAGCATGATGTACATATAGTTATGGGTGCTGCCACTTTCATGACTTCATAGTTTAGCAGTGTCCCAGTTGCTGGATGATTGCCAGCAGTGCTTGTATTGCTTTGGAAAAAGAGTAGAATAAATTTTAAAATCTGTCCTCTAATGTCACTGAGAGTTGTCGGATTTTGGGAGAAGGCCAGTTAGGATAATTAAATGGCTTATACACTATTCTTTCCATTATGCTTGTGACTGTTATAATTGAGGAGATCCTAAGAGAGCCAGTCAGACTGTGCTGTGTTTGGCTATGCCTTCACACTTCATAAAATAGAAGTTAATTTGAGGTTAGTTGAGCTGTAGTGACAAGCTTTTACACATTCCCCAGCTACTATTTAATTTAGGTTTAAATCAGTCACAACTTTGTGCTTCTTAACAAGGTGCTATACTAATCATAATGTGTTGTAAGTTTCTGTTTTGAGGTGGTGAAGAAGAAACAAAAAATGCAAAAAAATTTTCATTTTTGTCCTATTTATCTCAACATGTGTTTTTTAATTCTGTAGTGTGAATTTGTTTTCTGTAGTGTACTTGTGTGTGTCTAGGAAAAATTTAATTTATTTTCTTCAAGCTTTCATCTCAGAACCTTATTCTGAAAGGTACTGCTGGAACCTTTAAGGGAAAGTCAGTAGCAGTGAGTTTCCAAGTATTGCACCTGTTTTACATACAAAAGCAAATAATAGCTCAATAGTCACAATCCTATCTTTCTCTTAAAAGGAGAAATGTGTTTTTCTGATTCTACTCCATGTCTGTATACATTTCACAGTGAGGCAATGTATACTTTTCATAGCAGCTGGTATAGGAACATTGAAAAAGGTACAGGAAGGGGCCACAGTGATTACCAAACTTATGAAATATATGAGGTAAGTATATAATAGAACTTCATAAAATTTTAACTGTCACAGAGAAGAGTAGTGACTTGTCATTGTCTTTACCAGTGTAAGAACTGAGAAACATCAGATGAAACTCTCAGATGGCAGGTTCAAGAAAAACAAGGGAAGAGTACTTTTTCAAACAGCACAAAGTTAAGCTATGGTACTGCTTGTAGGATATTGTGGATGCTAATATGACCCTGGATTCAAAGACTAGTTAGATAAATATATAGAAGAAAAATGTATCTGGGGCTATTAGGTACGAACATGTGACTTGTAGTTCAGGAAGTTCCTAAGCCACAAATTGCTTGGAGGTGACGAGAGTATTTCTGGGACTGTATCACAACATGGTTGGCCTGTCCCTTTACTCTTCTCTAGCATCTGCTACTGGCTGCTGTTGGAAAAAAATTGATGCAATAGATTGACCTTTAGTTTGACTCAGTGTAGGTGTTCTTGTGTTACTAACTGAAGGCAGACTAAATCTTTAGAATCTAAGACAGACTTTTAGAAGGAACTCAAAGATCTTCCTTGGAATCCTTCCAGAATTCTCCCAATACTGCAAAGAAGAGTTTTAAAATCGGGTGTCTTGCTATTTTTGTTAACTTTGAAGGTTTTCTCTTCTAAACCTAAAAGGGTGAAGAAAATTTAGAAGGCGGATTTGGAGGATGGTGGTTCTCCTCTATTCCCCTGTCCTATATAACAAATGGACATACCAAAGATCAGTAGGTTGCCCAAGATCAGTTTAGAAACTCTGTAAGGGAGTTCATACAAAGAATTCAAGAAGACCACGGAGAAGCTCACTGGAAGTGGTGGAACATGTACATTCTTCACTGTCCCTTGCTTTTCTTTTAGGCGTAGTACTACTTTGCCACATCTTGCAGAGCATGTGTAAAGACATAACTAGAGTCCTCTTAATTTGGGGCTAAGTCAGTGCCACCTTCCTCCCAGGACAAACAAGGGAAAAAGAGGTCATTGCTCTCGGTGAACATAAGGTCAGAAGATATGTATAGAATTGTGAAGAGGTTACAGTGCATACTTTACTTCCCTAAGCTTTTCCTGTGACATCCCAGCTGCTGGAAAAGTACAGTTCTGGTATTTGTGTATGTCTACACACATTCATGCACATGCCATTTGGATCATTTGTTTCCAGTGGCATTAATGAACTTTAATTTCACGTCAGCAGTTCCTTTCTCAACCAACAGGAAGTTCAGGATGAAGTGATTCAGTGCCCTGTCTGAGCAGGTTCTCTCCTCTTCCTTCAAAAATTCTACAGGAGAATGTCCCAAAATGGCTATTACTTCCTTTAAAAAACCCACCCGAGAATTACCTGCTTGCAAACTCTCTTTGCAGGCTCTCTGTAGTGTAAACTTGCCTCTGCTTGGGCACTTTCCTCTTCACTGTTTTAGCTCAGAGTTGCCAAAACTGCATTGCTCACAATTGTCTTAATTTAGAAGGATAGTACAGTCTGAAAACCTCTTATAGGACAAGGTCATCTTCAGTCTCCAAGCAAAATGTTGGTAGCTAATGCTTTGAGCCAAGGTACTTCACACAACCGTTAATCTTCTCAGGGGCCTGCTGTGACCTCCTTAGTGAAAGGGTATAAGCATACCAGCTGAGGCAGGGTTCCTGCCAAACTACTTCAGAGAATAATAAAATCACTTAGACTAGATTTATGTGTATCAATCTCAGCCTTGAATGTAATGTATTGTGAATGCCTGTGCTCAAGATAGAGGCAATTAAGGAATAGGAATCTACATAAAATATGCTTTAAATTAGTTTTTTCTGCAGTGACTAGCAAGACACTGTTCTTTGGGTATCTTATTATGGGTGTATAAGAGTGATGTATGTGAGAGAGTTGGTTGTTTTGTTTTTGTTTTTTTTTTAAACTGGGCAATTATATCTTTATTTAAATCAAAATTTCAAATTAACATCTGATGTTCTTTCAAATATTTTTATAAGTTCTTTGGAAAGCAGCAATACTTTCCTCTTCCTGCAGACTGTTTTTAAAAATAAATCTACAGAGCAATGCACAAGTCTTTGCTTAGCTGTTCTAATTTTTACTATTTCGTATTGAGATGTAACACATGGTCTTAGGTATTTTGATTCCAAACAAGTTGTGCTGTTCAAAACAAGTAATTTCTGCTTAACAGGGAGATACTCATCCCTATTATAAAAAAGTAAATGTTTTATTTTTTTAATTTTTACTGTCACAACTCAGTATTGTTAAATTTATTAATTTAATACTTTTGTCAGCCTATTAATTTAACATACTTGGTTCTTGCAGTCTTTCCGACCTTGTTTTAAGACAATATTGAGATGCTCACTTCACCTGTTCTATAATGCAGGTGCTGTAGGTGGTGATTTTCAGGTAAACTAATGTATTATAGGACAACCATGTTTCAAGAGGGAGCTAGAGAGCTATGAAATAAGCCCTCAGGAACTGTCTGTAACCCTCTCTTTTTCATATGAATACAAATAACCTGTAAATGTTTTTTCCATTTCAACTTCATTCTTTAGGTGTCTATTGATGGAAATGACAGTGTTAGTGGCACAGGAATGATAGGTGAAAATGAACAAGATAAAAAAATGCAGGTATGTAGCCCAATACAAAATAATTAAATATATCTTTTCTTTTGTCTTTTCTGCCCAGCAACGTGCATGATAGGTAGTCCTAAGTAGCCATGAACATGTCTGCTGCTACCATTCAGGAATTTTAGATCTCAAACCTATACAGATTGGTCATATGTCTCACTTTGTATAAGATTCTTTCACATTTTAAAGTATGATTTTAAAGTATGATCATACTTACTGTTTCCTGGGGTTTTTCTGTTAGAAGGTAATTAAAAATTATGTTAGATTTTTAAGATTTTTCAAGCTGACATATTTCATCAGTAAGTGTATAAGTATTTCAGAAGTTATTTTCCAGAGAATGAACTGCCTTTTTGTAGTCCTTAAAGCAGAAGGAATGCTGACTCAATTAATTATTTTTTTCTAAAGAGAGACGATTCCGGGCATATACTTGGAACTGTTCTCTCTTTGGTGACTTATACTGATTCAGAGTCCCTGAATTTTCTTGTGGATTTTGCAAGTAATCAGTAAATAAGAGTGTTGCTTCTAGAGAATGCTTAAAGAAGCAGAAGAATACTTCCATTGCTTTTTCTGTATTTGTGTTGTTAATATGTAGAAGTATAAAAACCTTTTCACTATGAAAATATTAACTTAAAAGTTCAAAGAGCAATGGAAAGTAAAGGTGCAAGTTATTAAGTCTCAAGGGTTTTTTACCTGGAATCCATAAAATTATGTAAGTGTTATTTGTCATCATAACGCTTTATTAAAGAAAAAGATAAAGCAAAACATATTCTGGCCCTCAAAGAATTATGACCAACAACAAAAATAATAAAGGCTCTATACCCTGGCATGCTTACATGTTCAAACAACAGAATAAAAAATGGAAAAGTCATTGCACTGAGAAAGTTTTGGTCAGAGAAACCCTTTTTCCTTTTTAATTTAAGGGGTAATGAACTAGACAAGGAGGAAAAATATCATCCAACATACAGTACAGTACCCATGAAAAGAAAAATGATAGGCTCACCTCTGACAGTGACCTCAAAATTCTCTATTCTCAATTTTTTTAAAAGCTAGATTCTGCAATATTTAAAACTGCAGACAATCCACTGCTGCCTGTGTGGCACCACTGTGAAACGAGTGAATAGCTAACACATGCATTATTTATGGTATTGGAATATATTCCATAAAATGAAATCAAGAAAGATAGAGGTTTGGCACATTTGTAGTTTGGAATAGAGAAACAACTCCAACAAAATACAAAACTCAGGGAAGAGTAATATAAGATCTCAGTGGTTTTACCTAGAAGTAAGAGGTTGTTGAGCACAATGACCTGTAACCAGTATCCAGTTACATGTTGATTTCAGCCTCAACCCCAAAACCAATTAAAGTGGATCTGGAGGTTGCTTTATCTTACACACATATGGCAACATACTTGCCATGTGGAAATGTGCTAATCTTATGGAGCATTATATGTTCCAAACAAAAAAAGATTTGCTTTTTCAAAAGGTACTGAGGTTTAGTCTCAAATTCTAATTCCCTACAAGGTGACTTCAGTTTGTCAACTGAAGGGTTCCAAATCTATCAATGGTCTATGAAAATCTTAATCATGATTATATCTTGATGTAAGTAGATATAGATACATAGAATAGTCTTATATTTAGATATAGTATTAAATAAGTGTACATTTATAAACCTTTTAAGTCCACAGGTAACACAAGAACAGAACAGATGTCATGCTGCTAAGCAGTCATTCAGAGTTGCATGTGGTTAGGTTTTTCACCAAAGTAAAAAGCGTAAAACCTCTCTGTGATTTCTACATGTGAAAACAAAAGACTATGTGTGACCAAATGGCTATCACATACTATTTCGTTTCAAACCTGTTATACCCATCTGTTCATACTGAAAGAAGAGTCATAGGACTGAAGTTTTTATGGGTCCAACATAAAAATCTTATTTGAGATATATTACCTTTATTGTTCTCCTCTGTTACCTGTCTAAACTCAGGATGCATTTGTGATCTCTTTTAAAATCAGAGGCTTTTCTGTCTGTTTAAAAGGACACAATTCCTATCAAGGAGTTTCACATTATTATAAAGGCGCTTTATTTGCTATGTTCTTCTGATTTTGTGCATCCTAACATCTGAATTTTTGAGTTTCTTTACAGTGCATTATCTTACAAGAACAGTAATTTTAATACTATATCTGTCCTTGTTGAATGATAATACTAACTGAATTCTTAATAGTCCTCAAGTCATACCAACTAATATATTGTGAAGAAATCCATACTTCTGCAAACACTTCGAAGAAACCAATGCTCATGATATTCAACTGAGTTTTTTCCTGTTTGGTTTATTCCCTTCTTTCCCCTCCCCCATCCTTGTATCAATCTTAATATTGGTAAAATTATGTCTTTATTTCCTTACAGATACTAGAAATAGCACATTGATTACAGAACTTTTAATTTTCTTTTAAACTTTGGCATACTTCAGATTTATAGTAGATCTTAGCACCTATATACATATTTTTATATGCTGAAACAACAAATAAATACTAGCAGGTTTACTGAGAGAAAAAACAAATTAAAAAAAAATGCTTAGGTGCAGGTGCTCAACCAAATGTTGTCGTCATGATTCTTAATATATTGAAGTGACTTCTGTGATTCATGATATCATAGGTTAAACAATATTATTGGTAATGAGTTTCTTGATTTATGAGGTTGTTTTTCCCCATGGTTCTAGAGAAGCTTTTCTGAAGTGGTAGTGTACAATTCAGCTGATTAAAAATTTCTTATTCAACTTTGCATCTTTAGTCTTCAGAACAGTCTGAATGTAACAGGGCGTATCCTTTCTGAAGAATCTATAGGAAAGTTCACAATCAAATTTCTGATCTATCTGAATGAGGAATTGGAGGTCTGTGTGCAGTTGCAGGGCTACAGGCTCATTGGGATGAGGGAGATGTGGTAGGATAGTTCAGATGACTTGAGTGCTGTAATGGATGGATACAGGCTTTTTAATAAGGCCAGGCGAGGAGCCGGAGCTGCCCTTCATGTGAGAGACCAGCAGGACTGCACAGGGCTCTGCTTCGGGATGAGTGATGAGCCAGTCAAGAGCCAATGGGTCAAAATTAGCTGGCAGACCAGTCTGGGTGACATTGTGGTGATTGTCTGCTACAGAGTGCCTGATCAGGAAAAAGTAGGTGAGGCCTTCTCCACACAACTGGAAGAAGCTTCATGTTCACAGGCCCAGATCCTCATGGTGAATTTTAACCACCCTGGTACCTGCTGGAAGAACATCACAACAGGGTACATGAAATCCAGGAGGTTTCTGGAGTTCAGGGATGGCAACTGGCAACCTAGAGCAGGTTACTGAGCAGCTGGTGAGGTGAGACACTGCTGGCCTTCATACTTACAAAGAATAATTACTTGGGAATATGAAGGCTGGGGGCAGCCTTCAGGAGTCTCCATCCTTAGAGATACTCAGAACCCATCTCAATACTGTTGGAAGAAACCTGCTGTGGCTGAACCTGCTTTGAGCAGCGGGTGCAGGATTAGAAGATTCCCAGAGGTGCCTGCCCACCTCATCCATTCTGTGAAATGTGCTTTTGACCGTGCAGAATGGAATTGGATCCATAAGAAAATGAGGGTGGTTTAAAAGAATAGACCTTTTAAAATAGTCTTGATTACTTTGCATATAGTTGTATCAGAATTTTTATATTTGGGCTTCTTCCTTTAATCTGTATAAATGTTTATTGTATATTAGTGTATGAAGAAGCCTTTAAAAGGGGTTTAAGTTGCATTGCAAAGGTATTCTGTGTCTTTTCCTGTTGCATCATGCCAGAGAGTAGAACCTAGCTCAAATTGCTTCAATTAGTTTGATCAAAACACATGCATCACTGACAAAGTACAAAATGCTTTCCTTCATTTTTGAGAAGTTCTCATAATAAGTGCATTTGATTATTGTTTGGCCTTGGCATGAACTTATCTTTGAAGGTTGTCTGATTTAGGGCTAATCTGCCTTAGATGTAATCTAAGCCTCTTCTGTCAACTAATTTGGTCATTTTAGCACTGGGTTTATATTTCAGATTTTTTTTGTTTTGTTGTTACTTGCCTAAATAATGCATGGATTTAAATTTGCTAGCTACAAGTAAGTATGTTTTACAGTTTCTTTCATCAGAACTTGTGATTTTTATTTCTTTATTAAGGACTAAGAAATACGTAGCATAGCAAAGAGAGATGAAAGAAACCTGTGAGAATCAGCTCTGACTTGATAATAAAATACAGTGTGTGACTTTTCTGATCCACTGTGGGTTTTTTAATGGAGTTTGTTTTTGTTTTTCTTTTGTTTTTTTCAAACTAGATTGTCTTGCAGGGACATGGAACAAGAGTGAATGCAAAATCTCAGCAGAGTGGAGAGAAAGCCTTTCGCTGTGATTATGATGGCTGTGGAAAACTGTACACAACAGCTCACCATCTTAAGGTGATGAGATGTTAGAATGAGCATGTTGTTATTTTGCAGGCATGATGCTTTTTGACAGATTATGTGGTTAAAAGTAACAGAAATTAACAGAGAGCCAGTCACAATGGTGCTGTTTTGTCAAATGTTTATTGGATTGATTTGACAGTAATTGGTTGTCCCAGGTTCTCAGCTGATTTTGCTTAGTGTTCTGGATAGATGGAGGTGTGGAATCATGGTAGGCTCCTATACTGCCAGCATTCAAGAAATCAGCTCTCATGTTGAGATAGTTTCTACCAGCAGCGTCACAGGAATTCTGAAATCCAGTGTTGACTCTATCTGTTTTATGTGTATGCATGATCATGCAAAAATACAAATTTTTGAAAGATTTTACCATCATAATACAAAGTCTAGGTCATCAAAACAGTACAACATCCAAAATGAAAAGATGGAACATCTTTTCTTTACTCCTTAATTCTCTTCATTTTTTGAATTAAGTAAAGGAATTACTGAAACAGTAAGGGTGTAGAGCTGTTCACATTCCAGTTTAGGCTGAGGTGATCACTTGCCTATGAGGTAAACTCCTTGCAGTTCTGCCTTGTCTCTGACAAAACACTGGAGTCAGTGAGTAATTGATGGATCATGTGTTAAAATGGTGTCCTTGCTGCAGAGGTTTCATGCAGTGTAAGACGATCATTAGAAGCACTTCGGAGTCAAAAATCAGAGAGAATGGGCTCTGAGGCACGTTTGCACCCTGTCTTTAATGTTGTTCCATGATGGGCAACTGTGTGTTTATAGAAATGTTTTTTGCAAAACTGACTGAAAGGATCAGGATAGACCTTGGAAAGATACACATTTAGTTTTAGGGAAAACATCATTACTATGTTTCATTATGTTTTTATCACTAATTTAAAAATAAGACATTTAAATGTGAATCTTCAGAAGAGAAATAAAATATATTGTCTTTGAGAATAACTGTTTCTGTGTTGAAGTAATCAAATACAACATTTCATTAAGTCAGTGTATTGGATGTCTTGACAGGTGCATGAAAGGTCACACACAGGAGACAGACCGTATCAGTGTGAACATCCTGGATGTGGCAAAGCTTTTGCAACAGGTAATCTTTTGTGGACTAGCTCCTCTTGCTTGTTAGTGTGAAGTTGTCTCTGTGTAAAATAAGGTTTTAGTACTGTCTGTTTTTAAACTGCTAAGTAAAGAACTTGGTTGAGAAAACTTCAAAAAAAGTAGTCATCATTTCAGCTAGCGTAGCATATAGAAAGGATGGAGGATTTAACTCCTAAGTTACTGAAGGAGGAATGAGGTGAAACATGACACTTTATCTTACTCTTTACCTGTCATGCTACAGTCAGATTTTATGTTGAAAAAATAGGCCTTCCTGAAGAAACTAATAGAGTAAATTAAACGAGGTTGTAATAAGAAGCTGAACCTGTTGGCTAGAGATAAACATCTGATCTTCTGTTCTAAATTTGAAAATAACTTTGGAAGATGCTGTTTTAAATGTTCTGTATTGAATTTATGTCAAAGAATTTTATGTGCCATTAAGTGACCTCTATATTTCATACAGGCTACTTTGTTCATAAATGGTGTCCTCCCCAAGATTTAACTTGATGGTGCAAAATCCTAGTATGAGGAATGAAACAAGGAAGAAAGTGAAAGAGCAAAACTTCTTTCAAATTTGAACTTCGAATGTAAATTAGTATGAGGCTTAGAAAAGCTAGGCTCTATTTTTTAAAAAAAAAAAAAAACACTAAGTTTTTTTTAAAAATAACTTAATTGACCTAATACAATGCATACTGTTTCTTTGAATAGAAACAGGCAAAAGAAATGCTGATGAGAAAGCTCAAAAGGGAAACAACCACACTTAGAGGGTTGCACTTAAGTTTAATTGCAGTGTTTTAAAGGGATTTCAGAACTAGATAATGAAATATTCTCTTCCATTGTAGCAGACTGATGTATGGCTATAAACAGCTGTTTATCTATTAATACCATATTTTTGGTCAAAGCCATTGTACCACTGTAGTTCAGCAATCCTTGCCTTTGATAAAGTTAATTTTAAGTACTGAAAGCTCCCAGTTTAAATATGAAGAACTCTCCTCGGTTGGATCATGAAATTGAGGTTTTTTAGATGTAGGAATGAATTAATGCTCAGCTTGACGTGCTTTGTGTTTTTTAAAACATTAAAAATAGGAATTTCAGCTGTTTTAAAGATGTAGTGAGAACACACTGTGAAACTAAAGCAGGTACCGTCTTCTTATAGACTGCTAGTTTATTTTGCAGATATAGACATCCCTTGTGGACACAAGTAAAATTCAAGTTCATTTTCTATAAAAGCTGTTTGAGGGTTCTCTAGTCATGATCTTTTCAGGGAAGTGCAGAAAGGAAAAGCTTGGGAAAATCCTCTTCGCAAAATAATTTACAGAGGGCCTGATTGAAAGATCACTTTAGACCAGTAGAGTTTTTGATGAGGATGAGTTCCTAAAAGTAATCTTAAGGGGAATAAGTGTCCATGACTGCTATCAGTTGGCACCTATATATGTGATGATGTTAATAATACGGTTTAAAATAATTAGAACAACTTTGAGCCGAAATAGCAGTAGAACTGCTGACTTCATTAATGGTACTGATTTTTGTATCAGCAAATAATTAAATGTCATTTTGATGACAGTGGTGGTAGGAGATAAAAAATAGATGGAATACAGAGCATACAGCTTCGTCAGAAGACAAAGTATTTGTTGACAGTATAATCACTACAGTTTATCCTTATGAAGGGAAGCAGAAGCATTATGGAAGTGTACTTCATAAATAAGGATGAAAGCTGTATCTAGAGTTCTGCTGCTCTCTATGGTAGAATGAAGAGTTTGTGAAGAGTGAAAGAGCAAATTTTACTCGTCAGGGAGCTTCCTGATTGGAATGGCAAGCTCAGTTTTTGATGGTGATGGCTTATGAGTATCCTAATTTTGCCTTTATACTATTATAACATCCTTTCTTATCTTCAGGGTATGGGTTAAAAAGTCATGTCCGAACACACACGGGTGAAAAGCCTTATCGATGCACAGAAGAAAATTGCACTAAATCATTCAAGACTTCAGGAGACCTGCAGAAACATATCCGAACCCACACAGGTACTATTATCACCCATTATTTTTTTGTTAATTCACTTAAGTGGATTTTTTTTCTCTTTGATCATTCTATGACTTTATACTTACAAAATCAGCCTGTGTATATTCTCTTTCTGAAGCCCAGTGAGCTCAACAGCATTTCAGGATGGTAAGCATTTATTGTAAATCCAGCATGCTTTTCCTGGGAAAAGTGCTTAAACATTCATACTGCCACTGCATATGCACTACTTTTAGCAATGCATCACTTACATTGTCACTGAGTCACCTAGTGCCTTTACATTTCATTTGCAGCTGTAACAGAACAAGGAACTTTTCCTCAATAATTCAGCTCACCTTTTAGAAATGGCATCGGTGTTCTTAAGTTTTGGTGCTTTAAAGGTAACTTGCATGCCAGATTCACGAAGCTTGGTAGTTCTGAGCTTGTTATCCTGATTTCCTTTCTCTTCTTGCAGCAGAAAAATGAACAAAAAATCATAGAAAAACAACTGTTACTAAAACTTTCAAATGCATAAAAAATAAAATCTGACATTTTGTCTAAAAGAAATTTAATTTGAAAGCCAAAACACAGATAAGTTCTAGACAGCGTACACTACACTCTGCAAAACTCTGTGGGTGCAAGCACATGTAAACAAGTTTGCACAATGCGTCCTTTGCTCCTGAGAGCTAAAAAATAAAATAAAAAAAAAAATAAAAAAGAAGGAAAAACTAAAAAAAAGGGTACACTTAAATGTAGGAAGAATAATCTATTGCTTGCTTACCTATTCCATTAAGTATGTTTTTCCACTGAATTTTCTGAATATCAGAGAGTAAAAAAGAACAAAAGAGATAGGTTTTTCTCAGGTTGAAAAGCACAGTGCGGGGAGGGGGAAATAAAATCAGAGAATAAAAAAATGTAAAAATTCAAGATTGCATTGAGATACTTCTGCTTTCCTGGACTTCTGTATTCAAAGAGAGTCTGTTGGGATTAGTACTATCTTGATGTTACAATATTCATTAGGATGAAGACACAGAAGTGTCATCTGTTTTCAGTTCTAGAAGAGAACTGCTTGATGGTATGTAGTACATCAAGTACAGACTATGAACTGAAAGATTGCTGTAGTATGGACAACAGCTTGATTAGCTGTGGACTGTTTTCTTTACTTATTTGTGGCCACAGAAATTGTATGGTAATTTAATTACTTAATTTAGCAGTTGAGACAAAAGACTTGAGCCAGCCCTGTGTAACCATTTACTCATTGGAGCAACATTAATAATAAAAACATAGAGTTCGGGGTGTCTTTTTTTAGATTTATGAGTAGTTGCAGGAAGCCAAAGAATGAGAAGAAAATTGCACCAAGTCCTTTGTGCAGATGGATGGAATAGTGTGTGCTCATACCCTATGCAAGCTGCAACAGTGCACCCGATGGAGGCAAGTCTGGGCTCTGAAACATTTTCATTCCTTTATCATGTAGAGCAGGGTTAGTGCTTTCTTAATTTCCTGCCTGTTTTAGCCAAAAGTGATTTTTCCCTCTCTTTCAGTGGCAGTCCAGTCTCACTTTCTGTTGCCATCAAATGCTTGCCTTGGGTTCTTCCATGGCTTCCTTAGACATACCACTCTGGTATCAGAAAAGCTGATGTGGATGGTTCCTCATAGCTGCTGTGGGGTAGGGCTTGAAGGCTTCTGACTTGCTTTGCATTTGTAGTGCTAGAAATCTCAGTCACCTGGAAACAAGTTGTTTTTCTAACAAGCACATTAGAAACTTAAAAGCTGGCTTCACCAACCGGTGGGATGACATTCTTGCGGGCATTCTTTAGGAGCAATTGTTTGGATTTCTACTGCAGGGTCTGTTGTTGGGCGGGGTTGACTCTGCAACCCTGCTCCTTTTAGGCGTGACTTGAGGTCCTGTGCTGAAGCAAGGATTAGGGGAGCCATGGTAACACAACACTGAGGCATGTATGCTTAATACATACACACTGCCTTGGCAGAAAGCTGAAAAACCTTCCTGAAACGGCTGCGCTAAGGAACGAATTACAGTTTCGTCTGCCAAGGAGCCAACTACTTTGGAGTTTTGTGGTATTAGTGTCTCTATCAGGACTTTGGTTTTTATTTCTAAGTACATAATGTATCTGCAGTGGTAATCTGCCCTCTTGCTCTCAGATTCTTCTCTTTGGTAAGCAGTACAGTGGGTGGAGTGCATTTAGCTCTAGGAAGTGTGAAATTACAGTTTACAGTGGGACATCGCATCAGGTGGCTTGAACTTCTCCAGAGTTAACCCCCTTCACTCTTCCCCTTGGTATGCTTTCATAGATCTGAAGGGTCAGGGGTATTGGGGTATTAGACAGGGGTTGGCCTTACCCTAGTGTTCATGGTGAAATGCTTTGGTGGAGTGATGTAAGTTATTGTGCTTATATGTACATTGCACAAATTGGCTTATTTTTGAAAGAACCTGTACTAGGGATTGCTTTGGTTTTGAGGTTTGAAACTTGAGTTTCAGGGCTGTCTCTTTAAAAAGTTGGTTCTTCTCATGTAAGGTTAAGTGGTTTTTATAATGAGTTTTACTGATCCATTTGTATGTTGGTTATATGCTAAATCATTAAGATATTTTTTTCATTTTATGAATTTCAGTTGACACATGTACAAATGGTATGACACACTTACTTTGGATAATGTACGCATGATTGAGGGGTGTTAAGTACATGTCAGAATATGGACAATGTGGAATCTAATCCAAGCAACTGAGTCTGTTTTATACATCATAAAGAACTAATCTAAATGCTTCATAATTTAGTTTACAGATTGTATGATTTTCCAAATATTGCCAGTTTTGCTAAACAGTACAACACTCCATGGTGGTATGTTCTTGGTATTTCTGAGGGTCTCAAAGTGAGAAGTAGGTAGCTTTAAATTCCTATATTCAGTCTAAGTGTAACTTCAGGATTTTTGTTCTTTTATAACTTTTGCATGTGTACCTTTTTCTTTTTTTTCAGGTGAAAGGCCCTTTAAGTGTCCATTTGAAGGATGTGGCAGGTCGTTTACAACATCTAATATTAGAAAGGTTCATATCAGGACACATACAGGCGAAAGGCCTTATTACTGTACAGAGCCAGGATGTGGGAGAGCTTTTGCCAGTGCAACTAATTATAAGAATCATGTGAGAATACACACAGGTATGAGTGATGTTTTGTATTTTGAAGTGTAATCTGCTTGGGAGAGGCTGTGTTATTCTCCTTAAGAACATTGTTTTGACACATTGTAATTGGGTATAGTCATGTTTATATGACCTGGCTTGGTACTTTTGTGGGGGCCTTGTCTCCCCTCAGCTGAGGAGAGTTAAGCAGTTAGGTTTCCTGCCTTGCTTTCAAGGCAGAATAATTTTGGTTTGGATACAATGTTCTTTAAAATGAATGCAAAACCTTGTCTTCAGTGAACATTGGGCTAAATCTTTAATATGGTTCTGGGGCTTGCCTCCATTGTGAGCTGCTTCTTAAATAAACAACAGTAAAGCACAAGTCTGAGCTTGACTTTGGCTCACTGTTGTGAGCCATCCTTTCATCCCAGCTGTATTTTCCTTGCTGCTGGAGCGGTGGTCAAAACCTTCTTTTTATAGATGAAGGTGAAAATACTTACCCAACTTGATTGGCAGAGTTAGTCAGCAGAAATAATTGGCACAAATTTGAAAGCTGCAAAAGGCAGTGATAGCCATATCATCTTGATAGCTTTATAGAAGAACAGACAAGTCTCTTAGAGGTACGTTTTGTATTTAAGATTACCTTTTTGTTTATAATGTAATTTGGACATTTGTTTAACTGATTTTTAAATGAAAGGTGTTGTTACATGAAACCATAATTGTTTAAACATATGCTTCCTATAGATTTCTTCAGAGTTTAAAGACTCAAAAGTAAGTGAAATCGTATTAGTGTATCAACATACCTGATCATTGAGGAAAAGTATATTTTATATATGATTATATATCCAGTAATAAAAGAACAAAATTCTCAATATGATGCCAGACTGACATCGCAGCTTTCAGCCAGTATCCTTCTGTCTTCATCAGAAGGATGTTTTAGATGAAATAACAGGGAAAAAAAGGGCCCAACTTTCACTGACAGTAGTTATTTAAAACAAACAAACAAACAAACAAAAAAGCAACAGTGAGAGGCTGCATTGATAAACTTTGTGAGCTTGAGCTTCACTGTTGCTTTTGAAATTGAAGTATGGTTGGTAGTGAAGGTGTCACTAAATATCATTTGTTGAAATTTTTTGTGCATCCCTGGATAAAGTTCTCTTTCTTCCTTTTGTTTTTCAATACAGGGGAGAAGCCCTATGTCTGTACAGTTCCTGGTTGTGATAAACGTTTTACAGAGTATTCCAGTTTATACAAACATCATGTTGTACATACTCATTCCAAACCATATAACTGTAATCACTGCGGGAAAACATACAAGCAGATTTCTACACTTGCTATGCACAAGCGGACAGCACACAATGACACAGAGCCCATTGAAGAAGAACAAGAGGCTTTTTTTGAACCACCCCCAGGTTAGAGCTTCAGTCATTGAATCTCTTGTAAAAAAATGGGTTGGATAATATTTTGCTGGGTTTTTTATAACCAAGGAAATGAAAGCATAGCTAAAAATCTGAAGTACTTAAGTTATTTAGCTTCTTTGTAGGACTTCTTAGTGTGGTAGGCAACTTGTAAACAGAAACTGGGAGAGTAATTGACCAGATCATAAACTCATTTATAGCAGTCCTGGGGATAAGAGAAATTTGAGTTGCAATCCCAGTGAACCTGCTATAAACATGAATGTGGGAGGGGAACTGTGAGAGTCTAAAACATTTATTTTTTCAACCTAGTGGATTTTTCTTAGGGATTTTTTTAAGAGTATGTGTAACACCATGGCTGGTGACAGTCTCCTGTGCAGGAGTAAAGGCGCTGCCTTGAGAATAGGAAAAATCTGTCTTTGCAACACCCTGATACTGTGCTGGTTTCGCTGTGGTTTATAGCAACTTTTGTAGACTGTCCTGGAGGCAAAGCTGAAAATAAGCTCATGTGCTGCAGTACTCCTTTGAATATGTTTTTCATGGTGTCATGAGTATGGAATCCTGTGACTAAAAGATCAGACTGAAGGAAGTACTGTGGCAGGACAAATATCACTTGTCAAATTGTGATTTTTAGATGTGACTGAAGATGAGAAATACACATGCAAACTGTTTTGGTCAGAAGAGTTGTTTTAGTACATGTATGTGGGAAACTGCACTGAATGCACCTCAAGATTTGCTGCAGTCTAATTCCTTCTTTGAAGGGAATGATAAGGTTCATTTGCTGAGGTTAAACATTTATTAAGATAATGAACTTAAGTCTTCATACAAAGGCATCATTGTGTTGTTCTGTATGTTTGTTAAGTAATAACTGTTTTTAAAAGCTGCCAGTTGTATTTGCATGGAGCCTCTTATATGGAGAGGTTGACATTTAATGATTGAATTGGGAATGATTGTCACCATTTTAATAATGGCTTATAAATTAACTGTATATTTTCTTTATGTGTAATATTTACATGTGTAAAAACTCATTGCTAAAAGATTAAACTGCATGTTCCCAAAACAACAGACTTCCTGGCTTGCTTTTGGTATCTATTTTTTCTCATCTTTTCATTAAAATTTTTCCATTGGAGTGTTTAAAACCTTCAAACCAGGCTGGCACTTAATCCTTGCCATTTGCTTTCCTGACAGCATTTACAATACGTAAACTAACCTCTTGCCTTCTTTCTATCAAATAGGTCAAGGTGAAGATGTTCTCAAAGGCTCCCAGATAACCTATGTGACAGGTGTAGAGGGAGAAGATGTAATTTCTGCACAGGTTGCTACAGTTACTCAGTCAGGATTAGGTCAACAAGTAGCACTAATATCCCAGGATGGAACCCAACATGTAAGTAACCACAGTGTTGAAGAGCTGACAAAAATACCTTGAGAATTGAGGCAGGTGTTTGCATATACTCCATGTGCTTTCTAAAATCAGTTAGGATTCTTGATAAATATGTATGTGGGTTTCTTAAGGAAGGAAGCTTCTTTGGAGCTGGGTCAATATATGTTTAGAGTTGGGCCTCCTCTGGAATACGTAAATTAAACCACATATTCTGACACCTGAAACTGTATTAAGACAAGGATAGCTGAAGAATCTAGTTTTGTAATCTCTGTCACTTTTAAAGTAGGCACAGGCTATTTTAACAATTGTTACATATATAGCATAGTTTCTGAGGTTTATTTGATTAATATCTGATGGTAGCGCTTTACACGCTGTTTGGTAGTGTGAAGTTCTTACCATTACTAACATAAACAATGATAAGGAATGTTCTGATTCGACCTCCAGTTGAAAATTCCTATGGATATATTTTTTAAGGATTCATATGGATATATTTTTTAACGATTACACATGAAATGTGATTGGGAGGGGATTTCATCGCAACTCTTTTGTTTAGCTAATGGCAATATATCAGAAGGCAAATGGGGAAAAGTTTATATCTCCGCTAGAAAGGTAGCTAAAATGCCAGTAGCACGTGAAAAATATCTTCTAAATTCAAATTGGAAATGAAATTTAAAGGGGGGCTGTTACATTTCCAGTCCTGAACACTCCAGCAATACTAAGTAAGTGGCATTTTTACTCACTAAAATGAAGGCCTGTAGAAGCCTTGACATGGAATTCTTGCATTTGTTTAAATTACTTTCAGCCTGACTTTAGTTCTGGGATGTTTTATTACCTTGTAAATCAGACATCAAATCACATATCTGATACCCTAATGCATATATACTGGAGAAATCAGTAATTTATATCATTAATTTTTTATTAATTGTTTATTCGTGGTTTAAATTCTAAGCCCTTAAAGGCTTCTTCAGTATTTCCATGAAGAAAAAAGCATGTCAGGTGGTGCTACCTTGAGTCACACTGTCCGTTATGCAAGACATATGCATAGATAATCTATCATGCAGTTATTTGGGATGTGATCTGATTAACATGGAGTTGTAGACTCTGGCGTCAAGTATGCATCCTTTTTACTGAGAACCATAATTTTATTTCTGTAAACAGATAATTGTGACAGGTCATGGACTATTAAGATCCCAATCAGTAAGATTAATGCGATCAGGTTCCTTGGTCTAAGATGGGGACTTGGCCAAAGAGTGACAGTGATTCTCAAAGAATGCATGAGTATGCCAGTCAGGCAGTGGAATAACGGCTACTAGATCTGACCAGTATGTTACTTGTGAACATGACTTTCTGTTCTGGATTGCTACATATTTTGTTTCAAATGAAGAACTTGAACTAGTAGGAGTATTCCTCCTGAGTCAAGTAGCAGGAATTTGTTTGATAAATGCTGTTACACTTAAATGCATATCATAATTTTTTTCAAACCTTACTTAAAAAAAGACGTTATGTTGCCAAAAGCTAAGACTCAGGTATGGCTTCAGCAGCAAGCAAACTACCTTTTTTTACTTCAGGAATTATTTTGTGTTTCAGGTCAACATATCCCAGGCAGATATGCAGGCCATTGGCAATACTATCACTATGGTAACACAAGATGGCACCACCATCACAGTCCCTGCCCACGATGCTGTCATCTCTTCTGCAGGAACACATTCCGTAGCAATGGTTACTGCAGAAGGCACTGAAGGACAGCAGGTAAGATATTCTGCATTCATGTATAATCTTTCTTTATAAGATGATATAAAATAGGCACCTATGCCATCACAGTTTTGTTATTCACATAGATTTACCTAAGTAAAGCGGTTTTCAACATCTGGCCATAGCATTCCCCTCATAAGAGTATGATGAGTTCTACTGCAGTACCATACATAAACATGTGGTAGAGTGTTTTATAAACGTTCATTGGGCACCACAAAAAAATTTTGAGGTACCAGTCCAGTCACTTAGGTGTTCATAAAATAAGATGTAGAAATGCTAAATGTTTCCCCCAGTCACATAGCAAATGAGTGGCAGAGCTAAGAATAGAACCCAATATGAACTGTAACTTTATCACTTTTAATATTATGGGACTGCAAGTTATTTGGCAGAGAGGAAACATTTGTTCATCTATGTATTTGTGGGCATGGTTTGAATATATAAATACAATAGCTAAGTTTTATAGTAGAAATACAGTGATATAATTTTTAATCTTTAAGTTAAAATGCATTCCACTTCTAAAAATGCACCACGTGAAAATGAAGATATTCACTAATCACTGTGCTCTGTATGTATAAATACTCACAGGCTTGTAGGCACATTTACTGAACTTCTGTGCAGTTCTGAGGGTATTTATACTTTGAGAGACAACAGGTAACTTTGAGAACATGGCAATGGTAACCTTTCTTAAAAAATATATCTTTTGCACAATAAAGTTATGCTTATGAATAATCAGAGTTTTTAATTTAACTTTTAAGATAACAATTGTATGAGATCAGTAACAGATCTGTCATGTAGTTGATTCTCTTCCTTTGCCTTTGAAGGTTGCTATTGTGGCTCAGGATTTAGCAGCATTTCATAGTGCCTCATCAGAAATGGGACATCAGCAGCACGGACACCATTTAGTGACTACAGAAACTAGACCTGTTACATTGTTGGCTACATCCAATGGAACACAAATTGCAGTACAGGTAAGACAGTGATAAATGTGTTTTGGAGCGTTTCGTCTAGAGCTAGAAGCTCCTAATCATACAACAACATGATTCAAATAAGCTTGGCTCCCCTGAAGAAAGAATCCATAACCATATGATCTGATACTGTAAATAATAGATAGGATTAGGAAGAGGAATAATAAGCACCTATTTGTCCAAAACTACTTGTAGAACTTCCAAAAAGGGGGGAGGTTAGGGGAGGGTCAAACTTCAGGCTAACTGAATCGTTCATGGAGTCACAGGTTTTCTGTGGAAAAGCGCTTTCATTCATCCTTCAGCATTATATATAGAGCTGATACATATAAAGACAAACTCTCAAGGGTAGATTGCTGTGAACTTATACAGATAAGAATGACTGAATTTGTTATTTGAACCTTGAAATGCTAACAGTGAAAAAGTGTAAACAGTTACATAGAAAAATCAATAATCAGAAATCTCTAGAAGTAGTAACCTTCTGTTTATGTGTCGAATCAGCACAGTACCAGCAGCAGTCTCTGTAAATAGTTCCTCACATTGCCAAACACTGTAATGAAGGAGTAATTTCTGGGTATGAAGGAGTTTAGTTTAAACTGGGCTAATTTAAAAGAAGGTGGAAACCAAGCACAAATTAAGCTTTTATGTGCAAAGTAACCAAAATCAAAACCTAGACAAGTATTTTCATAAACAGTTTATTCAGAGGGAAGCTTGGCTTGACTAGATGGAAGGTTGAACAAAACTTCTGACGCAAAAGATGGCCAGTATGCTACCTTACTCACCCATTAAATAACTGTGTATATTTTATTTTTGTTATGTATGATATGATGGTAGGCTAAAAAAGCTTTTGGAAATTTTAAATCTGGAAGAGTCAGTATTTTAAAAATGCATCTCTTTAAATGCCACTGTAGTCAAGGGTCAGATAAATGACTGAAGGATCTTAGGGAAATTGCCACTCCAATGACAGAAGCCAATTTTAAACTCAACGTAAAATAAAAGGAATTGAATTAGTTTAAATTTTGGGTTGCATAGTAGTATCAGTCCTGCAAAGTGCCTAATACTTTTGGTCTACCTTGTAGACCTCTTGATTCTGTGCTTAAGTATGTACATAAATAAGAAGTCCAGTGGGAATGTAATGAAACTGCTTTTGTATTCAAATTTACTGTGGAATTGGGACTCAGCACTTTGTGGGTTTGATCCTATTGTTGTCTGAGTATCACAACAGGCACACATTTTGTTCTAGAGAGCATGAAAAATCACAGGACCTGAAACAGCATACTTTTCTGTGCATACTAGGAGAAGGATAATTTTCATGGATGTCATACACCCTATGAATTGCAAAGGGAGTTGAATATATGCAACTGTCTTGAGTATGGTTTGCGTGATGGGCCTTACCTCTGACAAATACCAATGTAGAACAATATCAGTGTGGCTATGCAGAGAGGAGATGCTCGAAAGAGTTTCTGAACAAATTGGTATTAAGCAGTGTAAGTTAATATGTGTTCTTGGAAGTAGCTTCAAATAGGAAAAGAAATGTAGAAAATGCACTCAAAAATTTCATTTCTAGGAGGTAAAATATACTTCGCATGTGGAAGTAACAGCAACCTAAGTCTGCTTCCTTCATACTGTTCATATTTGCTGAAACTGATGAGATCAAAACCTTTAAGCATTTGAGTTTCAAGATTAATGCAGCAGTCTTAAGTGTATGTATGCATAATATTCTCTTAAGAGCTCAGATTGAAAGGAATTGTGTTAATATCTTCAAGCAGAAATGAGATATTGTTATTTTCCCCTTCGTTACATGGAAAGTAGTAGGTCAGATGCTGATTGAAAGTTGAGAAGCTCTTAATTCTGAACTCCTGTCTTTTGAGCTAAGTTGCCAGTAATCAAAACTGCATGTAAGAGAAAGCATATCAGAAGCCAATTGTCTGCATGAGAGAAAAAAAAAAAAAAGTAACTTATACCCTCAGCATTGTGTTCTTTGAATGAAAGGAGAACATAGGCACTCTTTGTACATGTCCCTCTGTCGTTACCAGCAGTGAAGCTTTTGGTGAAGTATCTTAATGAAACTTCAAATATAAAATACAAACAGAAGAGAGAGAATTCAAAATTAAAAGGATTGATTATTCCTAAGTTCTTGATTGTTTCTCTTTTCTACTTTGATACTAATAAATGAATCCATTTGGTTTCTAAATACTGCTAAAGCTTATAGCCTGATAGTCAGATTGAAGTCCTAAGATGATGGTAACAGAGCTCTTGATTTGAGTGGCCCCAGAATGTTATATCCAGTGACTGTAAAAACAAGTTACAAGCAATATTTAGAACTGTCTCACTAGGTCTATCCATCTGTCAAATAATCTGGTTTTACTTTTTATACTCTCATACATCTTTCTCCCGAACCAACAGGTAATGGCCAGCTTTTTTAGGTTGAGGTTGTCTTCAGTGTTCCCATCATTGGATGCATGTTCATTGTGTACATATTATAAAACTCTATGAATTCTTTCCCAAAATTGTGTCCAGCTGACTTTATTCAGGGTTGGTTGATGTTGCTTCTGACAGTGCCAAATACACTGATGGCTTTGTAGTTGCAACTACAAGGTAATTTCCTCTCTGAACTACTGTATAATTGAACAGTGTCATCATGAGTGCTTCGTTTATACAGTCAGGATTCTGCAATAAGTATATACTTTTTTTATATATTGTCATATGTTTTTTCAAATAACTGACTTTCTGCAAGAGAGGTAAGAAAAATGAAGATGTTTGTTTGCTTTACCAGTGTTAAAATGTAATTCAACAGCCACCATGACTTTTGAAAGCCTTATCTTAGCTCTGCTATGTCTGCCAAGTTGAAATATCATCTAGTTTGTGTCATGAAATGTGTTTACCATGCAGCAGTCCTTTGAAGAAAATTTATTTGGTGGATACATAGAAAGTCAGTTAAATCTGCTATCAGAAGCTATCTTAATTGTCATGCTGATTAGATAGGTGCTAGTATATATTACCCAGAAGAGGTGTGACAATACTGATCGCGCTTATTTGTGCTAAACTACTGATCCATATCTAGATCTTTGGTTTCATCTTTATTTTTTTTTATACATTTATAACCACATGTAACATTTTGAATTTATTTACGTTTAAATGCATTTGTTTCAGCTTGGAGAACAGCAGTCTCTGGAAGAAGCCATTAGAATAGCCTCCAGAATACAACAGGGTGAAACACCAGGGATTGATGATTAACTTCTAAAACTGCTACCAGAACAATAGAGTGAAAGGTATTTTATTTTCAATCAACAAAGGTCCATGCCAGCAGCAACGCATAAAAAACTTTGAAGTTCCCCGCTCACTGATACTGTGTACACATTTTATGCAAGAGCGAAGAACGTTTTGTAAGTTTTGTGTACATAACCCTTGGAATGGACTGACATAATCTACTTTCAACTGTTGTATATTCAGGAATATGGATTTAGGATTATATAGTAAATTTCCTTGTTATCCTTTCATCAGATTTCAGACTGGTCTACAAGCAAATGAAAAATTAAATAGAAGTATTGGAATTAATTTTTAATGTCATGTGCAAATAATGAAGGCATTACGGAAGATTTCAAATTTTTAAAATACTATTAAATATCTTAATTTCAGGAACCCTTACAAGTAATAAAGATGACAAAGCCTTTTAAATTGCATTCCATAAATGAAGAAGTCTTGGATTTTGAGCCTACTGTAAATCTTCGTATTTTGATTTGTTTCACACAGATTTGAGTATTCTTTAGATTACCCCCTCCGTCTCATTATTGTAAATACAGACTGTTAATGCTGGAAGTGCTAATTATATAATGTTTAAATTGGATTATGTACAAAGGAGAAACTTTGGTTGTTCAATATTAAAGGAAGTAAATCTAATGATTTTGTTTCTTTACATATTTTACTTAAGATGTTACTGTCAAATTATTATGCAATAAAATATAGCAAGATTGTATTGTCTAGATAGGATGATATTGTCATGTGACATACTGTTTTACTTTTTAATAAGACTGAAGTTCACATTATTTATTTATGGCCTTGTATAAATTTTTCCAAAGTCTATTTATCATAAACTTAAATTTTTCACATATTAATTTTAAACATAACCCACTATAGTGTATTAAGTAATTAGTGTTAATAGTAATTTTAAACATTCTAAAACACTACAAGAATGATGAAAATAGTAATTAGTCAACAAATCATGACTGAAAAGTAAATTACCTGTTTTCAAGAGGAATATTTTCAAATGCTGCATTTGCAGCATAAGTACACGTACTAATAGTCTATTTTCAACAGTTCTGAGTGCCCGCTGCTACCATTCAGTACCTAGGATATGCTGATAATCAGTGCTTTTGAAAATCAGGACACAGGCTACTAGAAAAAAGGGATTAATTAATGATGATGTAAGTACAATGCTCCTCTCCACCTATCATTCTGTAAAGGAAAAAAATCCATTGTAGATATGTCTGTAACACATAAAGTAAAATGTAACTTGAATTTTTTTTTTTTTTTTTTAATATGAAAAAGTGTCTTTACTCTTGTCTTGTTAGTAAGCTTGTTAAGCAAGTTAAAATTTTTTGGCTTCATGTAAGATTCAGTGCTTATTTTAGATGAGTGTCAAGAGCACTTCTGAAACTGAAGCCTCACATTTTACCTTCTCAAGGGAAGGATTAAACATCTTCTGAATGAAGTGTTAATCAAGTAATCATTTTATAAATATTGAGAGGTACACATTTTACATAAAAAATAAAGTCCATCACTACGTACCATGAGGTATTTGACCTCAAAAAGGCCAAGTTTTAATAAAGTGAAGTTAATTTATTGTGAATTACTATATCAGTGTGAGTTGCAGCCTTTTACGTTTTTCATACAGATGCCAAACTGAAAAGTGCAGTGAAAGAATACAGTACTGTGGGATAGATGTGGACAAAGCAAAGACTATTCTCTGCATCCATTACAAAGTAAAACTTGGAAACAGTGAGATTGTAACTTTTGTATAGGATTGAGGCTGCTTGCTCACTTAGGTGCCAGTTTTTCTGAAGTGTTGTAATTCTTGATATCCGATGGAGATAAATGTACTATGCAAGGAGGATTAATTGCCTGTCAACTAGATCAGTTTCTTAGTGCTTACACCTTTTAGAAATTAAAGATGTATCATTTGACATGAACGTTCAAGGGTTTTTTTCTTAAATTTCATTGCTAATAGTGTCTGGAAACAGTGGCTGGAATGGTGGCTTTGGCTTAGCAAAGACATAACTTCAGTTCTTACTTCTCATTTCCCAGGACATTTTCTGACCACTGTACAAATGTGAGTATTTTTTCCTCTTTCATACTAGTTGGTATGCTGCAAGGCATTCAGAACTAGCTCAGGAAAAGCTGCAGTAATTTAAATATTACTTCTCTTACTGGTATCTTACTCTTGCAAAACTCCCAAGTCAAAGGTTGTGCTTCCATGTTGTGCTAGCTACCCCTATAGAGGAAAACATACTGAATAAATAAGCCACACTGACTTAGGCTGCTTAGTGTTTAAAGACAAACTGATTTGATTATATGCGTCTTAGCCGTGAGGGCTGTATTCCTAATAGACTTGTTTTCAGAGTGAAGAGACCTGTGTGATTTTTCCACTCTGCTTCCATTCAGACCAGAGTGGAAGGAGCTGTTTTGGTAAACTGATGCTGCGTGTTGATGTCAGCAGGACTTGTAGTGGAGACTAAGATGAAATCGGGTTAGATAAGAATATTGGTGAAACAGATTTCAGGAGGAATAAAGAAAGAATATGACAAAAAGGATTGGGCATGTGGCAGTAGAAATCTCTGTCCTTTCCCCATAGATATCACTCCTCTTTTTAGAAGTTATGTCTCAAAGGGAATGCTTTGACACATCAGAAGGAAGTAATTTGTAAAAAAGGAGTCCTATAAAGTAAAACAGCTTAGTATATCACTTCCTCTTAGAAATTGGCTCCCACATTTTCAGCATTCCCAGTCAAAATTTTTCTTTCAGATTTGAATTCCAGGCCTACACCAACTCCTCCCTTAAAGGAATAAAACCAAAACCTCTCTAGACTTTGCAGTCAACTTATCCCTTTTAAATGTTTCTACAGTTCTTCACCATGGTGGGCTTTGCTTTTCTTTACTGTAGTTCAGTGCCTCTCCTGATAATAGAGAGAGGCAATTATTTTCGGTGCTCCAGGCTGATGACCTATTGTGCCAGACACACTACGCATAACAATAGGGCAGTTTTTACCCTAAAGAGCTAATGCCAAAGCACACATGAATTGGCTGATTCTGGAAGAGTGTGTTTTTACAAGAGTAAATCCTGAAGCCTGACAACAAAGTTGTAAACAGCATAATCCCCGATGGTATAATTAATCTCAGCAACCCATCAGCTGACTGATACCAGAGTTTTTCAGGCACAGTGTGGGAGAAAAGGCATGTGGTGTCTGCTTAGCACACAAGAGAAGGACAGAGCTGATATGGACCATTATCTATGGATAAACAAGATGTCTGAGCCTGAAAGGCAGTTATTCTTAAACTTTACCCTAGTTCCTAATGCTCATAACCCCTCAAATACTGCCAGGAGTAATTCATTTGACTCTGCATACTGTGTACTTCTCAGAGTGCAGAGTCAGGGAGCCTTCCCCAGGGATGGGAAGCTATGTAATCAGTATTTAGCCACCAGGAAAAGATGGTATGGAGTTAGGATGTGTTCAAGAGTGTTTCTGAATCTGGCAACTTCAGCACTACAGCAGTTGAGGTGAGATTGCACACTTTAGATTGACCATAGCTTCTACTTACCAAGATGTAGAAGTGCCCTATAACAAACCTATTCCAGTCATTGAATGGAAACAATTAAATGCTCTCTAAATTTTTCTGTGTAATTCTCAAATATAGCACAAATTAAACTTCACTAATAGTTGGGTGGGAAGCAAAATTATTTTCTTAAGCAGTAAGGTGTTGAGGAGACTGGAAATAAAGGGTAACTTGTGTCCTGTTCAGCTACTACTCCACAACTGTTTGGAACTTTAAAAATAAATATTTATTCAGCCTGCATCATTTTTGTCTTGAAAAAGATAGACAAGGCATGTGTTAATTTCTTTGCAGGTACATAAATTCAAACTTCAGCTGGTTGTTGATAGTAAGGGACTCCTATTTTTTATGCAAAGCACTATATATTTGAACACCAGATCCCCCCAAAGTATTTTTTGCTCCATTGATAAAAACGTTCCAAATCTTGGGCCCCTATGACAGGAGACCAAAAAATCAAGAGCTGCTTTCAGTTCTTGTGTCATAAATAGTAAACTATATTCCAAATAAGACATAGAAACAAGCATTTTGCTTTGTTATGTTTATTTTAAAATGTAGCTTAGGTGTTGCCAGCAGTTTGACATTACTTTGATGCTAGTTTTCATTCTGCTAGTAACGTTCACTTGTCCAAAGGAAAATCTAACAGTCTAATTAGACCATCACCATCAGCAGTAAGAGGTTGACACCTAACCCTATCAGGAATGTGATACCAGACTTTTTCAACTGAGGGTTATATTCAAAGCAGACTTTAATTATCCCAATAAACATACAAGCTTGTATCACCAAGCAAGCATTTTGTCCTACACAGTCTGTGTATCTCTCTCTACTGGAAAGTGACCCTCTTAAATCCCATCCAGCTCGGGTTCTGAAGCAGTAAGAGATTTTATATTAATTATTTTTATTCTGTTTAGATTATTTGAAGCGTTTTACTCAAAGGAATGGCAAAACATTTAAACTTTAAGGGCACAAGTGATTGTGGAATTTTTTCTATAATAAAAAAGTGCCTTGCTACTGTGAAAACCCCAGCATTTTACCCTATCTTTTGTTTAAATCCCTCACCAGCCTTTAGGTTGACTGGCTGCTGTATTTTACTTATTTTTCCAGGGAGTTTTAGACTCTTACCATGTTACTGCTTGATTCTGTACTATTTGGCTGAGAGACCTCTGAGCAGGTATATTAGTGAGGTAAGACAAGGAAAAGAGACTGACTTCCTAACATCTGGCAGATCTGCTGGCAGAATGAAACTACCACATGGCCGTAGAAAGCCCCTGGAGAAACAACAATGTTCCAAAGGTACATCTCCAGTGGGCTTTTTGCTTTGGTGTAGTTAATTCAGATTTGAATATAGCTTGTAATGACTGAAAAATCAGAAAGTACAAAAATGGTTTCTGAGACAGGATTAGCTGCTTTTTGGTTTTAAACAGATATATTCAAGACAATAAGACACAGATTTTTTGACTGTATGTAGGTTCCTGAAGATGTTGTTAGTGGGAATAAGGTGGCTGAGCTTCTTTAAACTCTTACTAAGCTTTTATCTTTTTATCTGCATCTTTAAAAAATGTTTGCAAAATGTCTTACATTCAATAATATGCACAAGAGATTATTAAAATGAATAGTAGTAAATTTGAAAAAAGGCAGAGTACCTCTGTCATGGTTTTGCATGTTCCCTGAAGGAGAAAAAGGAAGGAAGTTAGTGATACTGGTAAATTAGCAGTGACTAGTTTCTGTGCATTAGACATTTTGAGGTTTTTAATTGCAGATGAAATATCTTGACTTCTATACTGATCATTTTACCTTCAGCACACGAATGGAGCATTCTAATTGTACCTGTTTTCAGTCACAGCAATCATTCCGTCTCTTCAACTTTTAGGATGTTTTGGAGGAAATTTCTGACACGAATACAACTCTTGGGAACAGATTCTTTTGCTATTGTCTTTGTAAGCAGAGATTTCAAGTGTTGAGGCAGACATACAGTCAAAAAGACAGTCACTAAAAACTGTTTAGAGTGTGTGTTGTCATAGTCACAGAGAAATACTGAATTGTATGTGACTGCTTGGCAAAATCTGTGCTTTTTTAATGTACCTTGTACAGTATAACTTCTGAGTCTCTCCAGATCTTCCCTTAAATTTCCAGATTTTCGGCCCAGAAGCCTCTCTCTGCCTCTCTCTACCTTGGGAGGCATCCTAGGTGCTGTCAAATTCCCCATTCTATTTTCTACCTTGTTCTCTTGCTGTTATTATTTATACTCCCTGGGTGAATACATCCTTGAGAAATGCTCTACTTGCATGCAAACCGTAGGCTAAAAAGAGTAAAAGGACTGGCAGCATCAGTTACAGGCATGTCTTTGGACACAAAGTCTTTGATGGAGAACCCATTCAACTCTGGACCTTGTAATGAAGAAAAAGAGGTTGCCAGCTAACAGCAGTTAGCATCACGACCCCAGATAAAATAAATCTTACACTGTTCACGTATAAGCTGTCAGTGGCCTGGAGACAACACCTCCCGGTTGGCACACTACCACTGAGATCCGTTAGCCCTGTATATGCCAAGTCTTGCATGAACACTGGAACACCATTGCTGGCACTGGTGACAAGCACACTGGTCCGTAGGTACCTGGTGGAACGCAGGTATACCGGGAACAGCACAGATCTGCCCCTGCTCTCTGTTCCCCAGCAACAGCCTTAGCACAGGTGGCTGTAGTGTTTGTCTTCCATATAAGTAACTTGACCTTCCTTCTCTTCTGCTTTTTCATTCCATTTACCCTTCTCATAATAAAATGAACTTCTAGTTTCACAACTATGCTGGCTGATGCAGAATGAATTTCACCCAGTTTTTGGTAGAACTCTTCCAATTTGATCAAAGTGGTTTTGGGGGCTGCAGATTAACTTGTAAGTGTAGGAAATCCTGACAAGATGGCAGCGCACCCACTTCTGTGGCAGTTTCCTCTGACAGACAAATTGGCCGCTGTTCCATTTCTTTCCCATTTATCATTACTTGTGTTCCCCTGCTACCCACCAAAGAGGGAACAGTGGCTTCCCTTGAGCTTGAAAACTAGTTAAAAGCAGCTGTTTGTCAGTGAGTGTGTGCTGCCCCAGATAAGTATTTCTGGTAGCAAAATCTTCAGTGTATCAGACCGATATACTTATTTTTTAATTTAAAAGCAAGTATTAAAAAAACCCAGAAGCTAATCTTGCAAATATATTCTGAAAACCCTAGAGCCACTCAAATTTGTAGGAATATCAGTCAGGTACTGCCTGGACTTCAGGTTATGTGCTGTTAAATGTATTTGGAGGATCAGGGCTTTAGTTTGCTGGATCTACAGAGGCACAAAGGTGCAATTTAATCAGCTTCAGAGAATTTGGGATGAATTTGACTTGGAGAGTATGGTGCAGTGGAAGCCTGCAGAGCTCTCCCCACTCACTACTTCTCCTCCTGTGATAATGTCTAAGGGAATTGGTTCTGCAGTGCTTTTTAGTTAGGCTGTGTACAGGCCTCCTAATGCTAGTTATAGTGGTGTCATGGTGGACAGGATAGCAGAGTTGTCACACTCCGTCTGGGGAAAAATCGTCTTCTCTTCAACACAACCATTTATGGTCCTGTCTAACTACAGCAAAAGAAAAACTGATGCAAATTCAGAACAGCACATATGTAGAGCCTAGGAATGTGGCCCTTATATAGCAACTACATGTTTTGTTATCATTACATATTTATTCAGTACTTCCTTTTCTTACTTGCTCTCAGTTTAGAAATAAATTTTCTGTTAAAACAATTGTGTTACTGCTGTTCCTTTCTCTCTTTATTCCTTTTTTCCTCTCTTCTTGTATGTGTCTTCAGAAAGACTTCCTTCTTCGTACAAACTCTGAATAGTTCCATTTAGTTTTGTCCCACTTAAATTGTTCCAGTGGTTAGCAATTTATTAGTTAAGTCTATACAATAGGGCTTCTGAATTTCAGTTTGCCACTCAGGCTCACTAAATACCTGTGACTATAGACTCCAGAAAGCAACGCAGCACCAGTTTTATTTAGGTTGAATTTGGGAAGGAAACCACAGCTTTGACATTTCAGGGGGAGGGATGTATTGAAAGCTTAAATTCTTTAATCTTTGTTAGAGAAAAGGAAACATCATATATGAATAAAACAAGCCACAGTTAGTGGCTGGGATGTTTTAAGTCACTAGGAGTTGCTTTTCATCTCCATCTGTTATTAACTGAGAAAAAGATGGAGATTGTATTTCTTTAATAGCCTTCTCTTACATCATCTGTTCTAAAACTTGAATGCTTCAGTTAGTATTTGCAATACAGTGCATTTAAGTTTTAAAAATTACTATTTTTAATGGGATGTTATTGTGATTCTAAATTATTGCACACCGAGCATGTGTACAGCACTTGCTTTGATGTAACTGTATCTCTGTAAATGCTGCCCAATCCCATTTTCATAGGTTATGTTGGCTACTACCAGTTTTCTGAAACTAGTTTTTAGGAGGTTTCCATAATCTAAAAAATTATCTTCTTGTGCCTTCTTATTGCTTGTCCTGAAAACAAAAACTGTCTTAAGCTTTCAGGCCATTGAAAGTGTGAGAAATACAGAGAGATAAGATATTTAAGAAGAAATGTTTCCATGTAGGCTTTATAAAAGAAAAGGGTAGTGACCCATGTGTTTCAAGGTGACTGAGCTCCAAGCAAAACCATTTCACTGCGCAGGCACAGTGGGTGTTGGTGAGTACAGAGTTCTACTTATGACTGGTCTGCTTAGCTAAGTTAATTTAAAATGCTCTTATGTTTGTACAGTGCTGGTGACACAGGCAGTTGTCCCCACACACTTTTCTGGTTCAGTCTCTGCAGCGTACTGGCGAGAACTCTTGGGCACAGCTGTGCTGCCCTGCACAGCAGCTCTCCACAAAGAAATGGGTATTTTCAGGCAGAGAGGTTAAAAAGGAAGAATAGGTAGCAGAGGTGGAGTATGGGACACTAGCATCCCTATGGCATTTCTTACATCCCAAATGCACGTGGGCTTGGAGAGCGGCAGTAGTGTGAACAGCACCAGTGTGCAAAGGGGGAAAAAAAAGTATCCTGGTATTTTTGGTTTGAGCCTCAATAGAAAATCTGTCTAAAAATAATTACCTGTTGGAGATACAGGTGTCCTGTTTCAGGAGACAGCAAAGAAGGGCCACAGAGTCCTGCTGTTGACCACAGTCCACCCACTGGAACTTCAATAGCAGGAACATCTGTGCCCCGGCTGTGGCCGTGGGAGCTGCAACCGTGTCCAGTGTTGCTTCTGATGGTCCTGCCCATGGACATCAAGGATCAGCAGCCCAGAGGCAGGAGATCGGCAAACAACAGAACCAGGGCTAAGTACAAACTTTATTTTCTATTGACTGGGCCTTGGGTGTTTGAGGTATCTTTGAAGCTCTCACACTCACAGTCAGCCATGTAGAGTCCCTCTGTAGTAGTAGTCAGCTCTCTGTAGAGGTGTCCCATTTGCAGCAGATGAGGTTTTTGTCTTCAGGGAAGGAAGGGCAGGCTTTGAGGAGGAGGCTGACCAGGGCATGGGCTGACAGAAGAGGGGCTGTGAGCTAGATCTCAGCGTCCCATGCCCTCAGCTTTCAGGGAAGCCAACCCCTGGTGCTGCTGCCTGCACATCCAGGGGATGGTATGCCTGCCCCGAGAGCCTGGGGAAGCAGAGAGAAAATCTACAGGGATACCTATCTGGCTTTCTTTGGGTGCTTCAGGACTCCTATGGCTGGAAAAAATTTTTCAGGACTTTTTTTACTCAAGGGATTAATTTCAAGATTATTTGATACAGGATAGAGATTGGCAGGTTTATTTCTTAGGTTACATTTAATTTAGGCGGTAGAAGATGGAAAATGCTGCTTCAAGACAATGACATGGCACCTGTAAGGAAGTGGCCTGTCTGATAAACGGCATCTGCTGCAAATCACATTTGTTGTGCTGAGACTTTTTGATTCGTTTAAAAGTGTGTGGTAGGAGTTACCATGGAGTGCTGTTTGAGGCTCCTGTGTTCCTGACTGCATTTTAAATTCCATCAATAGTTATTTGGAATGTATTGATTTTTTTGGCCCAGCTAAAAAAGCCTGTCGTTAACCGGCCTGAAATGAGTTGTTGTTTCGGGACGCATGCAGTGTAGCTTTTTGCGCCCTGTTCCACCAACCAAACGAGAGCACAACCTCCTGGCTGTGAAGGGGGGAGCCGGGCCCTCGGAAGGGCTCCCCGGGCGGCCCCGGCGCTGCCCAGCCGTGCCCCGGGCTCCACTGCCGCTGCCAGGCGGGGCTGCGGCCCCGGGCTAAGATGGCGCCTCGCCCGCGCCTCAGCGGGCGGACACGTCCGCGCGGCCGCCGCGGGGCTGGTTTCGGGTGGCGAGCCCCGCCCCCGCCCCGCCCCGCCCCGCTCGCGGCGTTCGCGCCAAAGGGCCCCGTGACACGACCGTGTGGGGGTCCGCCCCCGCCCGCCGTGTTTTCAAACCGAGTGGGCGGGCGTGATTGGCTGGCGTGCGCGCCACGTGACTAACGGTCGCGGGAAAGCCGCCGAGTCCGAACAGCGCGAGGCGAGCCGTGCCTGAGGCAGCGCCGCACCCAGGGGCGCAGCGCGCTGAGGGGACGCCGCACCGCCGGGCTTGGCCCTGAGCGGGGCTCGGAGCGAGCCGCCATGAGCTTCCATTGCTTGCAGCAGGCGGCGGCGCCGCCGCGGCGGGTGTCGGCCCGGCGGGCGGCCGCCCCGATCCGGCAGAAGCTGCTATTCCTGAGCGGCCACAGCGACTGCGAGGAGGAAGAGGAGGATGAGGAGGAGGAAGGCGGCAGCAGCGGCAACAGCACCGGCGAGGACTCGGCCTTCCAAGAGGCGGACTCGCCGCTCTCGACGGCTCGCACCCCGGCGCGGGGCGACCCGCCCCTGTTGGAGGAGGAGGAGGAGGAAGAAGAGATGGAGCCAGCGGCAGCGCCGCCGCCGGACGAGGGGGACTCGTGGGAGGAGGAGGGCTTCGGTTCCTCTCCGGTGAAGTCGCCCGGAGCCTACTTCATGGCCGGCTCGCCCTCGCCGCCGCCCCCCCACAAGGGCCGCCGCTACTACAGGCACTCCCCGCCGCACCCGGCGGCGGGCGGTTACCGGGTGCGGAGCGAGGAGCCCAGCTCGCCGCTGCCAGACTACCCCGGCACCCCGCCCCACAAGACCTTCCGCAAGCTGCGCCTCTTCGACACGCCGCACACCCCCAAGGTGAGGCACCCGCCCCGCCGCCGCAGCGCGGGGCCCCCTGCCCGGCCTCCCGGGAGTGGGGGCGGAGGGGAGGCGTGGGGGGGTGCGGGGCCGGGCAGGACTTGGCGGCCGGCCCGCCCCCGGGGGTGGGGAGGGGGCCGGGGGACCGCGCCCGGCGGTTGGAAGGCAGGGGCCCGGGGCCGGGCGCTGCCGGCGGGGGTCGCCGCTTGCGCCACCCCGCCTGCCCGCAACGGCCCGTTGGCGCCGGCCCCGGGACCTGCCCACAGCCCGGCCGTTACGGTTATGTAACGCGCGGGGGGCGCCGGGGGGGGCCGCCCCGCAGCCCGGCCGGGGCCCCGAGCGAACGGGGAGCGAAAGCACCGCGGACCCCCTCGGGCGTTTTGTCCCGTAGGGTAGCTCGGGCCGTGGGACAATCACCCCTTACATGTATAAAGTATATATTTACAACTACGTTTTTACTTTTTTGTTCTATCTTGGTTTTGTTATGCTTTGTGGAAAATATTTTTTGAAAGGTGAAAGTAGAATATTAAATTCTAAATATTTTAACGTCGTGTGGCGCTTTTACCTTCGTAACCATAAAGTTAAAGCTGGAACTGGCATTTGCTCCTGCGGGTCTATCAGTAAATTGGTGTGGCTTGTTTGAGTACAAATGGTGGTGGACCGTATGCCAGTGCAAGCTCAGTGTCTGCACTCTCTAACATCAGATGTAAAAGGCTATTTGGGTAGCCGATGCTGTTCAAGTGATGGATTTGAAAGCTTAAAAGAATAGGTAGCTCTTAACTGTGTCAATAACAGACTTTTGAACTCGACGCTTGTGTAAAACACTGTGTAGTGAATTTAAATCTAGTGATAAAAGCTTTGCTTTCTTCATTACTTTTCATACAGCCCTTTAAAAGTAATCCATGGATAATCCCTGGGGATAATCTCCCAGGGGTTTTTGGACTATAGATTGAAAACAATTGATTTAAGGTGCGAGGAAGGCAACCTTATTATTAATTGGTTTTCTACAGCTTCCATCTCAAGGTTTCAGAGGTAGAAATCAGTGGTATGCATTTGCAAATAGTAAAGTTGGCGATGGTCTTGTACCGAGTCAGGAGCAAATGCTTTAGAGATGCAAGAGTCCTGTGGATTGTGACACTAAACCCAAATCTTAACACCGTGGTTCAGTGAGATGCTTAAATTAGGGACCCAAATTCCACACAGGTCATCTCGGAGGTTATCTTTGGAATCTGGAAGAATCAGATGGTTACAGTATCCACTGGAAGTACTGAACTGTGTGTTGAGATGCACCGTGACTTAAAGGTCTTCATCTAGTCTGGAGCTGGGGAGCTCAGCTGAGATTCCCAAGTATTGAGCCTTCCTCCCAATGGTGGTTTTTGGCTTTAGTTTTGTCAATTCTTTATTGTGAAAGGTGTTGCTAGGATAAGGCAATACTCCTGCTTGTGATCCAATAGGTCAGTGGTTGGCATCCTCACCAGCATGTAGGAGACTCAGGTGAAAACTTCCCTACATAACTGGGAGAGGTTTTATCGTGTGCCTGGAAAATGCCTGTTTCTGACAAATTACCACCCAAAAGGTGTGTTTTAGATGTTGAATTGACAGCACTATTGAGGAATTTTTTGCAGGTTCATGAAAAGGCATCTGTGCATCAGTACTAAATCTTTTATTTGCTTATTTTTTTAGCTTACCATCTTAATCTGTAGTCACCAAAGACAATTTCCTATGTCTGATCTAACTTCTGTGTCTTGTATGTAGAAATTATGGTGATATAGCACAAGATGGTCCATGAGTTTCATCTGTGTTAATTTAATGGACAAAGAATTGTCCAAGAAGTTTAAGCGATGTGATGTGATTAAAGACAGAAAAACACTGTTTAAATACTGCATAATCTTTTCTGTCTTTTAAAAATTATTTTAACTTTCAGTGTTTCATTTAAAAGTTTTTGTGTGGAGTATAAAGCCTAATAGTTTCTTTGGAATTATTTTAGATTGCAAAGCAGGTATGTAAACAACTCATGCTAACTTTGATTAGATGATATTGTAATGATGGCTTTCAAGCATGACTTGACTGTCTAAAGCAATAGCGAGGCTAGAAATTTCTTTTTTTGTTGTTGTTTTTTAATGTGTGCCTCTTTTTTTTTTTTTTTCTTTTTTTTTAAATAAATACAGAGTTTGCTTTCTAAAGCACAAGGAATAGGTTCCAGCTCAGTCAAACTTCGAGGGGGCTCTCTATTTATGAATGTTGGGAAATCGGAGAAGCAAGAAGAAGATATTAGAAAAACACCTCATGTGAACATCAATCCCTTCACTCCTGATTCCATGTTCCTTCACAACTCTGAAGGAAAATGTCGTAGGAGGAAGAGAACGCACTGGAATGAGTGAGTAACTTGTATCTTCCTGTGTTAAGCTTATCTTTAGAACTACTTCTAGCTGCAGAGAAGTTTTGTTACAGATTGCTCCTGTGAAAGTATTTTTCTTTGCAAACTTGTTAGTGATGTGTAATATAGCTCTTAAAGTATTTGCTTTGAGATGCATGATATTATGAAACGAGCATTTAGCACTAGATCTTCTGATTAATATACAGAAGGGATAGACTAGGCTCTGTCCTAGTCATTTTATCTGACTGAGCTGTGCACACAGTTTTTTCTTGAGGAGGGGAAAACACATTCAATACATGAAACATGAAGAAATGGCAAAGAGATTAGCATGGTACCTTGATTTTATGGGTTTGCACTTACATATGTCTAGTGTTCAATTAGTTAAACTAAACAGGTAGAATGGGAGAATTAGATCTTGGAAAAATCAACAGCTGCTAGACTTCAGTTTTAAGTTTACTTAAGCCATATTACTTCTTCAAAAATAACTGGTAAATTTCAGCTCTTGTGGAGAGGACATGGAAGCAAGTGATGGAGAGCCTGAAGATGAAACAATCAGACCTGCTAAGGTAATTAATCTTTAAAACTTGATACTAAGTTTTGTAGTTTGTGTATCTGTAGGTCTTAGTATTTTCCTTTCTAATTTTTGCAGAGGATAACAATAACAGAAAGTAATATGAAGTCACGGTATGCCACTGAATTTCATGAGTTGGAGAAGATTGGATCTGGTGAATTTGGTTCTGTGTTTAAATGTGTGAAGAGGCTTGATGGCTGTATTTACGCAATAAAGCGGTCCAAGAAGCCCTTAGCTGGCTCTGTGGATGAGTGAGTATTTCCTGCTATTAAAAGTTGTCACCTCTTGGTGCTTTTTCCTCCCGTGTCTCTTTGTATCAGTGTCTAGAGAAGGCATTTAAGAGAAAAGTATAAGTATACATGAATTAAATGTAAACCATATCAAAATTCTGAAGTAACTTCCCCCCCCAATACTGTGTAGTACTGGGGAGGAAAGGCTACTTGGCCTTTCTCCTAGCAGGCATTTGTCCCAATATTCTGTGTGGAAACAGATTGTTCTCATCTGGCAAGTAAGAATAATGCTTATTGGCATTCATGGCAGGAGGGACTATATGAATAAACTGCGGTGATGATCCTTTGAGATATGACAGGAAATCAGTATTCCCAACTAGGTCTTAATCTCTGTCAACTTTAGTGACAAGCGGATTAGTTAAGTCAGTTTTGGGGCATTTTTTGGTGTTTGTGAATTTGCCTGTGATTCATGACTTTTTCTTCCGCTGTTCTAATAGCTATAATTTAAAACTCCACAAGTTTGAGTTGCTCAAAACTGCGTACTGGACTTACACACAAGAAGTTGGGAATGTTGAGTTCAGTCATACTCATAGCTTATGATCATGATTAGTTTTTTCCTAAAGCTTTGGTGATGCTTCTCAAAGCTTACTGCTGCTGCTGTTTGGAAAGTATGTGATGGAAGTGGCAGCTCCCTCAAGAATTACCTCCAACACAATCCGTTTTCTCATGTCCCATATACTTAGTCTTTTAATACAATGTAAATTATTTTAGCTGTTTGGACATAAATATAAATCCACCTTAAGGTGCCACAGAACTGAATATGGGGATCTTAATTAGAAACCTGAGCTGGCAGAGGGGCGTGATATTGTAAGTGTTTCTATCAAGTTCAAATTGGACTAATTTCACCTCATAATATTCCTGGGTTTTTTTGTGACTGTAACAGGCAGAATGCTTTGAGAGAGGTGTATGCACATGCAGTTCTGGGACAGCATTCTCATGTAGTAAGATACTATTCTGCATGGGCAGAAGATGATCATATGCTTATACAGAATGAATATTGCAATGGTAAGTAGAGTTTATCAGTTGTTCTGAACTTGCTTTCAAAAAAATCTAATTTTTGAAGATATACGGGTATCTCTACATATACCTAGCACTAGTTAGGAGCTGATTGCCTCACGCGTAGCTCGTACTGTTGTGTCAAATGCGTCTGATGTTCCTTTCTGTTGGAAAAGGCATATTGGGAGTCTTAAGTGGAATATTGGAAGTACAATGAGCCATTTGCAAGCAGCAAAACTCTTCTTTTCTCTGTAATCGTATAAGCTGGAATAGAGAAAATTACTGGAGAGTTTCCTTTAAAAAGGGAGGTGCACCTGATTTCTGAAGCTTTTTGCTATGGTCAATACCCTGCCAGAGATTTGGAAGAGGGAGAGATGTTATCTCCCTTGTCTTGGTATCCTATTAATTTGCATGGCAACTACATCAGAAAAATATTGTATTATGCAGCTATAAAGAGGGGATACAGCACTAGCTTTTACACTTCTTGTGTATCATCAGCAAGTTCTTGGTGATATATTCACTGTTAATTTTGGAAGCAAGTTGTCATTACTTTGTCAACTGTTTGATGCGAAATAATTTGTTGTGTTCTTTAATGTTGTTATAGGTGGCAGTTTAGCAGATGCCATAAGTGAAAATTACAGGAATATGCATTATTTTACTGAACCAGAACTGAAGGACTTGCTACTTCAGGTGGCTAGAGGCTTGAAGTACATTCACTCAATGTCACTGGTACACATGGATATCAAACCTAGTAAGTTTGTAAAACTGCTTTACCCTCTATTGACAACTTCCTCAGTTAATTTAATCTGCTGTAGAAAAATGAGCAGTTAACCATACCTTAATAACTGTGAATTCTCCACTGAGGTATTGACTCCACTTGCATAACACTTGGCTTCCCTCCCAGCAGAGGGGCCAGAGCGAATAAGTTCTAGTTTCTCGCTTTGCGAACTGGGTATGTACACAACTAAAACTTCTGTGTGGCTAAAGCAAACTGAAGTGAAACTAGATTAAGTAGAAATTGCACAGAAATATTTGGGGGTTTTTTAACAGTTCTGTTGTTTTTTAGGTAATATTTTCATATCTAGGACATCAGTCCCGAGTACAACTTCAGAAGAAGGTGATGATGATGACTGGTCATCTGATAGAGTCATTTTTAAAATAGGTGAGAAACAGCACAGTTGTGCTCAAAAGAGTTGCATTGTCTATTTGTCTCCTGAAAAATAACTTCCTTTTCCTTTATGCAGGTGACCTTGGTCATGTAACTCGAGTATCTAGTCCACAAGTGGAGGAAGGTGATAGCCGTTTTCTTGCAAATGAAGTCCTTCAAGAGGTAACTGTTCTGTTTGTGGAAAATAGTGATGCTAGGTATGTATGCTGTTTTCTTTAGAGTAATGACTTGCTGTCTGCTGCTTCCTTTCTAGAGGAGAAACTTCCTAAATGGTATTCTCTTGAACACTGGTACTACTTAAAGGGGAATGTAATATTGTGTATGTGTTCAGTGCTGAATAGTTTAGCTGTTTGTGAGATTTCTTCTTACACTGTGTGGGATATGTAGTAAATTTATTTTTTTTCCCCCCCACTCCAAGAACTACACTCATTTACCAAAAGCAGATATTTTTGCTCTTGCTCTGACTGTTGTCTGTGCTGCTGGGGCTGAACCACTTCCAACTAATGGGGACCAATGGCATGAAATTCGGCAAGGAAAACTACCTAGAATACCACAAGTGCTTTCTCAAGAATTACTAGACTTACTAAAAGTAAGAACTCTTGTACTAGTGGCTCACTGATTAGTGTCATTTACTGTATTACTGGCCTTAACTAGAATGCCTTATTTTCTTTTTTCCAAGGTTATGATTAATCCCGATCCAGAGAAAAGGCCTTCAGCTGTGGCACTAGTCAAGCATTCAGTGCTTCTCTCTGCTGCAAAAAAGAGCGCAGAGCAGCTCCGGATAGAGCTGAACGCTGAAAAGTTCAAAAACTCACTCTTGCAGAAGTAAGTAGTTTCTTGGGGTCCTTAAACATAACTTAATTTCTAATGGGTTTTCATATAATAGAAGAGTTATGATAAAACAGGAGTGTCCTTGTTTCTGCATGAGGTCCTCAAATCTGTGTGCGTGTGCGTACCTGAGAGGACAAAGAGGGTTCTGTAACTTTAAAAGGAACTTTCTACTTCTCAAGAATTAATTTCTTCAACACTAAGGAAATCTCACCTGCACTATTAGTATTCAACATTACAGTTTTTTGAAAAATGTTTCAAGCATGATGCATACTTTTGTGACATGTATATTGTAATTTACATCTATATTATTTGAGTCTGTTCTTGGTTATCTGTACATTGAAACATTGAAAAACATGACTTAAATGATCTGTTTTGAACTTAAATGAAATGGTGCATCAGGAATGTTTTTGGACTGATTTGGCTTGTATGCAGCAGTGTTATTAGGTTACTAGTGGATCATTTGTTTTGGGAGATAGTGTTGTTCTACATCTTGCTCAGACACTCAACTCTGAATTAAAGCTTTGAAGAAGAGATTCCCTTTAGGAAAGTCTCATTTCTGCTTAAGTTTCAGAGAAAGAGAAAGATAAGCAATCATTTGAATCTTTCACTGCAGTTAACGTTGTGTGTGTTGAGCATAATAGGCAGGCTTTTATGAGGGAATATAGAACACTGATTATTTTCTGACTGGCTCATTTTTAATGAATACCTTAACTTTGCATTTGGATTCTGTCCATTGCTATTTGCTTATCTTGCCATTACTATAGTCTAAATGTAGCCAGACTTGCCATTTTAGATGGTGGTTTTTATAATCTTCTTACGAATTACACTGACTGCAGAAAGAACAATTTGACCATTTGTGCAGGTTATTGAAGGACAGATTTCCTGAGGTAACTTGCTTGCTTGTATAAAGAACAACATATTTTTGTGTCATGTGAAAGGGGAAGTTGGCAAAGCTAGTATTTTGTGAAGGCTACTTCTGACCTGCCAACAAGTAGGGTAGTACATCCTTATTAAATAACTGTAAATCCAAGAATGATTTATAAAGAGCACTTATCCACAGTTATTTTTAACATTGTGGGATGGTGTTCCATAAAATACTTAAGGTAGGTATTTTTGGTTTACTTTGTTTTTTTAACGCTCCTGCATTTGACCCATTTAAGATACTACTTGTGTATGTAAGTTATCATCAGTGAAAGGAATCCCTGTAAGGAAACTCAGCTTTTTTACTGTCATCGTTTTCAGAGGAAGGAAGAATTCAAGATTAGACTTGTAGGGAAGACTGGAAGTATATTGTAAAACTTAACTTTCTGGTAATGGTGTGGTGAGTGGGTATGTATGACTGATGTTCAATCTCTAGGGAAGATGAGTAAAAATTTATTACATTCTTTTTCAGTGGACTGACACAGTGATAATGTGGGGAGGATTAGATGGAGCACAGGTGTTAATAAATAATACTTTGGCTGACAGAAAAGGGAGTAGGTTATTAAACTAAAACATGTAACTTAAAACTAGCTATACCTACACCAATACGCAGCAAGCTTGTAAAGTATGATCTTGCTTTGGAGTCCAGATGTGAAGTGAGATTACACATATTAGTTCTTATGGCAAAGAACATTCTTTGAGGAATAGTTTGGGATAGGAGAAGGAAAAGAGTATGGGGGGGAATCCTTACACTTAGCCATAGTGTGGGGAAACCCTTGATAAAGATAACCTTGGTCTTTAGTCAGGCTATTTCATAGTTTTGTACTGAATTTTATTTTACTTTGTCATCAGACTGAGTATTGATAATTCTCTGAAACAGAACAGTTGACAGAATGTTTCACAATGACAATGGCCTGTGCTACCTTCATTGGCTCAGCCTTGCAGTTTTGGGCTCCAATTTTTTAGGCAAAAAAGATTTAGGTGGTTGTTTTGGGACTGGCTCCATTCAACATCTTTCTTGGTGACACGGACCATGGGACTGAGTTCACCCTCAGCAAGTTTGCCAAGGACACCAAGCTGTGTGGTGCAGTCAACATACTGGAGGGAAGGGATGCCATCCAGAGGGACCTGGACAGGCTGGATATTTTGCGCCCATGGAAACCTCATGAAGTACAACAAGGCCAAGTGCAAGGTCCTACCCATGGGTCAAGGCAAACCCATGCACAAATACAGGCTAGGCAATGAGTGGATTAAGAGCAACCCTGCAGAGAAGAACTTGGGAGTAGTAGTGGATGGAAAACTGACTGTGACCTAGCAATGTGTGCTCATAGCCCAGAAAGCCAAATGTGTCCTGGGCTGCATCAAGAGAAGTGTGGCCAGCAGGTCAAGGGCTAGGATTCTCCTCCTCTGCTCCAGTCTCATGAGACCCCTCCTGCAGTGCTGTCTCTAACTCTGGGGCCCCCAACATCAGAAGGACATGGACCTGATCGAGCGGGTCCAGAGGAGACCGTGAAGATTCTCAGGGGGCTGGAGCAGCTCCCTGTGAGGACAGGCTGAGAGTTGGGGTGTTCAGCCTGGAGAAGAGAAGGCTCCGGGGAGACCATATAGCGGCCTTCCAGTGCTTAAAGAGGGCCTACAGGAAGGCTGGGGAGGGACTCTTTATCAGAGGGTGCAGTGATAGGATGAGGGGTAATGGTTTTAAATTGAAAGAGGGCAGATTCTGATTAGACATACAGAAGAAATTCTTCATTGTGAGAGTAATGAGACACTGGCACAGGGTGCCCAGAGAAGCTGTGGCTGCCCCCTCCCTGGAAGTGTTCAAGGCCAGGTTGGACAGGGCTCTGAGCAACTTTGTCCAGTGGAAGGTCTCCCTGCCCATGATCTTTCAAGTCCCTTCCAACCCAAACCATTCTGTGATAAGCTTTTGATGTGGGTATGCAAAAGGAAAAGGATGCTTCCCAAGTTGTCTGTTGCCAGTTATGTTCATCTAAGTGTGTTCCTGTTTGAATCTTCCACAGAAGTTCAGTTGTGGCTGAATGCTTCATTTGGACAACCCTCAGTAATTAGCTCCTCAGCGATTTATCATACGGCTCGTACTAGAAAGTAAACGGCATCCTACCGTGTTCTGGTAATTGAAGTGTTAAGCTACTTACAGAATTCTGGATTTCAAAATCTGACTGAGTTGTGTGAATTTGTCATTTCCTTCCCTTGTTCAAAAGAAAGAACATCTAGACAAGTCACGAACATCCCACTTCTGTCCTCTGGGTTGTAAACAGGTGGATGCGAATGATAATGGTCTTAAGACTTGCCATCAATTTAGGTAATACTAAGTTCTGAACTGCTGTAATTAATTTGAAATGCTCTTGATGTGATACGCCTGTAGTATGTACTGATACTGTTGTGTAAATGTGACTGACTCGATGTCTTGCAGAGAGCTGAAGAAGGCACAGATGGCAAAGGCCGCAGCTGAGGAGCGAGCACTGTTCACTGACAGAATGACAACTAGATCTACAACACAAAATAGACCATCTCGACTCATTGGAAAGAAAATGAACCGTTCAGTTAGTCTTACTATATACTAACTATGAAGTCTAAAAGAACTACTGAGAATGGCGATAGCATCTCTGCTGGACTGAAGCCTAAGGAATTGAAAGAAGCATTCAGTTCCTGGTTTCTTGTCCTGACTTTGATCAGTGTCACTAGTTTTACAGGAATTGCTTCTGGGTTTTCACTTGTACAATATGGCTGATTAGCTGTATTAACCATTTGAGTTAAGGGACTCAGTTACTATGTTGTCTATCGAGGATCCTGGATGTTAATCCATAAGCGTTTCAGTTACACTGTTAAATGTTACATCATCCCAGGGTTAACCACTATAGTGGTGTGCTGCTTTGTAGTGTTACGGCATTGTAATAAGTAATATCCCTAATGATCTTTAAGAGGGAGGGAGGGGGCCTTGCTTTGATAGTTACTGTTTTGGTTTTGTTTCTTGTTTTTTTTTTTTTTTTTGGAGCAGAGGGGAATGAATTTTAAAAGACAGGCTTTAAGGCCACCTACACTCAATGTACCTGATGTCAGGTAGACTTTTATTGTGAATTTTATTTGTATATTCAACTGGGAGCACTTTGTAGGCATTGCATAAACCACAGCTTAAAAACCTGTGGAATTAAGTGCCATGTGGAACTGCTGCTATTTTTAGTTTGTTGTCCTCGCTGTAAACTGTAGCATTAAAACAATCATTATTGTGTTAATAGGCTTCTTGTTAAAACAATTAAGTGAAACAAATCTAAGCTGCAATTTTAGTGAAGGCAGCATTTTTCTCTCAAAGCTAGTGCATTGTGAAATAATGCACCAATTTAATATTTGGACTTTGTATTAGTGTAGTGCAATTGTTAATGTTTTGGCTGTTGATGTTTTGTAATTCTTTCTAATAAGGTTCTCTAAATGTTGGTATTCTCTTCAGTTGTCCATTCTTGAGGCTATTGTATATTTTTTTTTTACATTGAAGTACTTGTAAATAATTGTTTAGTGTTAAGTGTTCAGGCTGTTCTTCACTGTTTATGTACATAAGTTTGTGCTTATAGTATACTATACTGAAACTGCAGTCTAAGATGCCAACAGACAAAGATTAACTATTCAGTTCTAAGTTCCAAAATGAACAGAATGTGGCCATCAGAACCTGTACTGATGTTGGACCTAGGCTGACAGATGTTGCTAAAAAATAGTACTGTTCAAATTACTGGCTTATCTCTTCATTAATTTTAGTTTAAACAGTGTTTCCCATTTGTGTTCTAATTGTTCTTACTATTGCTGAATTTGAATATTAAAGTTAAAAGTTTTGTTTAATATTGGCTAACACTTATTTAACTCCATAGTTGTGGAAATAAAATACTGAGTCAGGAATATACTATGGCAAGTCCTGCTTAGATCTACTTCCTCCTCCTGCATAATGCTTGTGGTTCCCTCTCACAGGAGTGGGACTGAGGTAACATACTCGTTGATAGTTATGTTAGGAGAGAAGCACCTCAGTCTGTGTGTTAGTATCCATAGCAGTCTGTCCTCTACAGCTTCAGAAACGATACTGCATGTTGGAAAGATGAAGCCGCTGGAAGATTTGAAGTGGAACCCGTGACTGTGGAGATGGAGGATTAGAAACTATGTGAAGAAACACCTTGGGTCTGAGGTAAGGAGGAAAACGCATGAAAACTCATGAATTGCTGAGAATGGGAAGAGAACTGCTTTTTTAGAAGTTGGGGAAGAAAACAATGGGAGGAATTGGAATAGTCGAGGGAACACAGTAATAGCATGTTCTGTGGCATGGATGCAAAATTTTTATGCGTTTGTATTTTACTTCACATGGAGAGATGCAGTAAAATTAATGAAGGCTTAATAGATTAGTCTATTGTTGAGGCTTTTATGCTGCTATATTGAAGAGCTGCAGGTGACTGTCAGAGAAGCTGTATGATTTGAATGGACTATCATAAAATTTAACTTAGCAATAGAAAACTGCTAAATATTTTTATTTCTAAGAAGTCTCAATGCTATTCATATATGACAGTGAAATTCAGAGGCTTGGTTTAGGTAACTTTATTCTCTGAATTGTGCAGTTATCAGTAAAAACTGAGAGACCGGAATATCTTTTAAGTTTTTACTTTGTATGATAGTCCTGTATTATTTATGAGAAAACTTAAGGATATCTCATACAGTTTTGTTGCAGCATTTTAGTTCTCCGTTACATTAAATGAGACCTCTCTTAAAGTGTATTTCTAAACAGTCATTAGCTGGTGGGGGATCGACAAACTTATTAAGCCTTTCTTCCCCTATAGTGTAAATAAATTTGATATACCTATGATAATTATGTGCTCTTCATTCATTTTAAGAGGCTTGTAACATCAATACAGGTATTACTGTGCAAACAAGCTGTACACAGTAGCCATGTAGGCTTACAGAGCTGCACTCTTTGCTGGCTAGAAAACTGGCTGGATGGCCAGGCCCAGAGAGTGGTGATGAATGGAGTTAAATCCAGTTGGTGGCCGGTCACAAGTGGTGTTCTCCAAGCCTCAGTACTGGGATCAGTTCTGTTTAATGTCTTTATCTAGGGTCTAGATGAGGGGATCGAGTGCACTCAGTAAGTTTGCAGGTGCCACCAAGTTGGACAGGAGTGTTGATCTGCTGACAGGCAGGAAGGCTCTACGGAGGGATCTGGACAGGCCAGATGGATGGGCCGACGCCAATTCTATGAGGTTCAACGAGGCCAAGTGCCGGATCCTGCACTTGGGTCACAACAACCCCCTGCGACGCTGCAGGCTTGGGGAAGAGTGGCTGTAAAGCTGCCCGGTGGAAAAGGACCTGGGGGTGTCAGTCAACAGCCAGCTGAGTATGAGCCAGCAGTGTGCCCAGGTGGCCGGGAAGGCCCATGGCATCCTGGCTTGTATCAGAAATAGTGTGGCCAGCAGGACTAGGGAAGGGATTGTTCCTGGTGAGGCTGCACCTCAGATACTGTGTTTGGTTTTGGGCCCCTCACTACAAGAAAGACCTTGAGGTACAAAGGGCAGGGAAGCTGGTGAAGGGCCTAGAGAACAAGTCTTATGAGGACCAGCTGAGGGAAGTGGGGCTGTTTATCCTGAAGAAAAGGAGGCTCAGGGGAGACCTTACTGCTCTCTACAACTACCTGAAAGGAGGCTGTAGTGAGGTGAGGGTCGGTCTCTTCTCTCAGGTAACAAGTGATAAGATGAGAAGAAATGGCCACAAGTTGCACCAGGGGAGGTTTAGATTGGATATTTAGGAAACATTTTTTTCACCAGACGGGTTGTCAAGAATTGGAACAGGGCTGCTGGGGGAAGGGATTGAGTCACCATCCCTGGAAGTATTTAAAAGATGTGTAGATGTGGCGCTTAGGGATGTAGTTCAGTGGTGGATTTGAAAGTGTGAGGTGAACGGTTGGATTTGATTTAGGTCTTCCAACCTAAATGATTTTGTGATTCTATTCTGTTGTGGGTCACAGGTTTTGTATCTGCCATGGAAGGGATGCCTGGCCTAAACCATGCAACAGAAGTGGCTTTGGATGTTTCAACTTCCTCTTTAGATATTTGCTTCTTTGTCTTCTGTCTTTGAATATAAATCCAGTGTCTGTAATCTATCTTCTAATGATATGTTACTGTACAGTGCTACCTATCTAGTCTTGTTTAGTCTTCCTGAATCTTGTGTCCAAAGAGTGGGTGGTGTGGTAGACTAAAACTCTTAGAGAATTAGTTTTCCTGTAAAGACATAACACTACACTGACAAATGTTGCTTTCCAAAATAATATTCTGAAATTGTTCTTAATGATTTATTTGTGGATGAATTGTCTTCCATTGCACTGTACAAAACTAGTTCTTGTTGGAAACAAACAAACAAAAAGAGTATTAACACCCCACCCCCCCCACCCCCCCCCCAGCTTCTTAATGTGAATTTCAGGTATTAAGGACTGAATAACTCTTCGGATAATTCATCTTGCAAATCAAACCTCTCCATGGACTACCTGTAGAAATACTGATGGTCCTTGGTTTTTCATTGCTTTGCAGTCTAAACCATAATAATCGAATCATAAATGCTGTATTTTTTTAGAATATTTTGAGTCACGTGGTGTTCACGTACTGTATGAAATTCTATTTATGTCATTACTGTTGAAACACAATTGGATTTACTTGGAGAATATTTTTTCCAGGAAACAATACTGTGGTAGTCATGCATACTGCTGGTTCATTATAGCCATGAAGGCCAACAGACAGATGAGGAATATGTCTGTATAGACAAATAAGCACTTTCCAGTTAGAAACTAGCATAACTAGAGATTGTTGTTCTACTTGCATAGATTGCATATCAAACTCCTGGCAATTTTTGCCGTGAATTCCCAGAGGGTTATTCAGCTAGAATTACTAAGGTCTTCTTAGCCTCCTTTCGTTTTGTTTTTGTTAAGCTATTGATACATTATGATACAACTAGACAACCTTGATGTCTAGTTTGAGGTGTTTGTTTTTTTTTTTTTAGTTTCTAAGTGTCCTATAAGTTCACTGATTTTCTGTTTCCCTCCACTCCTGGATACAAGGTGTTGATTACCACAGATGTAATAACATGCTTTATTTTAGTTGGGATGGATCTGAATTAGTAAGATGTAAAACCTGAAAAATGTACTGACTACTTGACTTTTTTTATGAAGTTATAGAGAAACTTTACCTCCACTTAGAAATGGAGGTAGGCCATATTTGTATATTTTGGAACAGGATTTAAATTTTGTAGATTGCATTACTTTAGACTATAACAGTGAAAAGTTTAATGAATTGTTTGACCCTCTTCCAAAAGCTGACCCACTTGACCTTGTCTTTAATTTGTTTTGTAGTCTCCAGCAACACCTGCTGGACAAAATAGCCAACTGTGCACTAAATTTTTGTCTTTGAAGTGTTCGTGTGTTAATCTCAATTGTTAGAAATCATTATGCTGCATCAAGAGAAGTGTGGCCAGCAAGTCAAGGGAGGGGATTTTCCCCCTCTACTCTGCTATCGTGAAACCCCCCCTGCAGTGCTGGGTCCAGCTCTGGGGCCCCCAACATCAGAAGGACACAGACCTGCTTGAGCGGGGCCAGAGGAGGCCATGAAGATTCTCAGGGGGCTGGAGCAGCTCCCTGTGAGGACAGGCTGAGAGTTGGGGTGTTCAGCCTGGAGAAGGGAAGGCTCCAGGGAGACCTTAGAGAGGCCTCCCAGTGCTTAAAGGGGTGACAGGAAAGGTGGGGAGGGACTCTTTATCAGGGGATGTAGGGATAGGATGGGGGTGACAGTTTTAAACTGAAAGAAGGCAGATTTAGATTGCATAGTAAGGAAGAAATTCTTCATTGTGAGGGTGGTGAGGCGCTGGCACAGGGTGCCCAGAGCAGCTGTGGCTGCCCCCTCCCTGGAAGGGTTCAAGCCCAGGTTGGACGGGGCTGGGAGCACCCTGGGCTGGGGGAAGGTGGCATTGGGGACTAGGTGGTCTTTAAGGTCCCTTCCAACCCAAACCATTCCATGATTTTATTCTATTACCTTGTTCTGCAGTAGTGACTGAGCATTTTTGCCAGCAGTAGCTAAGTGCTGACTTATTTTTTCATAGACATCCACCCCCTTGGTTCTGTAGGCTTAGAAAAGGCACCCTCATGATTTCACCATATATATGATTTGGTATATAACATGTATGCACACTTAATAAATCTGTGCATGTGTGTTACCTATTAATACCACTGTGCTTGAGGACTTGGGTCTAAGGCAATGGCCAGCAAGAGTCAAAAGCAGGGCTGTTCCCTGCCTGAACATTATCTTCTTTCAGTGAACCGTGGAAGCCATCTGAGAGCAAGCTGTGAGCTCCCCTGGTTGAAGGCTGCTGAGTGTCAACATAGGCTGTCATCTCAAGAAACACTGCAGAGAGAAAGCAGGAAGAAGCAGCGACTGGGCAGGACAATACACAGGAAATTAAGGTCCCACTTCTGTTTAAACGGTTGGAATTGGATGAAGATGCTGTCTTCCCAAAGAAGGGGAAAGGGAGGTGCTCTGAGGAGAGAATACTGCTGTGCCTAAATAAACAGGAAGCTATTTATTACTGTTTAACATGTTGCTCAGAGATCTGAGGTTGTACGTGCTTAATAATTATCTGAGATTCTGGATAGTCTTGAAAACATCTGAAGAATTGGTTTCAAAGATCTTCCTTTTGCCAGTCATTTAACTCGCTTCTAATATGCAGCATCAATATTTAGCATGACATCTGAATAATCATACTGGTCTAAACTGATTTCTCTGTTTGACTTCAGAAGAAAACAATAACTGGCCTAACTCTAATTAATGATCTGCTATGTACCCCTAGGGTTACTGCCAGATAGCTGGGCTAATGGGCATAAAAACTGCTGCTGTTACAGAATCTTTTCCTGTGCATAAATGGTAATTCAGTGTGTTCAGCTGCATCCTGATGGAGAAGATCTTGTTCATCTATTGATTTACAGACAACAGAATGCACCATTAATGACAGTATTTTAGGCAGAGTGTTCTGTAGGATAGGGATGGGGGGACAGGAGAAATACCTCCTGTTTCCAACATTTGGTAGTCTCACCAACCACTGCTCTTGGGTGGTCTTCCTACTTCTGCAGCCATTTCCTCTTGCCTTTTTTCATTCTCACCTACTTAGGTCTTAAGATCTTTAGGGTAGAATCTCCCCATATATTTTCCCATGCCTTAGCATATGGGATTTTAGTCTCCTTTTGGTCTGGTAGACACCGAGTCAATATTGATTGTCAGTCTTTTCCACCAACCCTGCTTAAATGTTTTTTTTCCACTGACCGTTTATCTTTCCAGTTTCCATCCCAAAACACGGTGTCAGGTGGTTACTGCAATACACACCTGGGACTTAGTTTCTTTGTCCTTTCTGCAGGTAAGCTCTGTGGTGTTCTGTTCTGTGCTAAGTTCTGTAACTTGGTGAGAAATACCTTATCAGCTACAAGTGTAGAGTAAGATGTGTGTTACCAGGGAGGAACTGAAAGGCGATGCGCTGTGTTATTACCTCTTCATGATGTTTCATTTGTCAAGTTTGAATAGAAATGCATGTTGTGCATATGTGTGTAAATAGCAGAAAACTATAGTAAAATCGATGTGCTTTGCTGGAATACTTCAAAGATCTTCAAAGATTGCTCTAGAAGTCTTAAAAGTGAACGGAGAATTAACTTTTTTTTTTTGGTAGGAGAGACTGAGCTGCCATTCTGATTCAGCATCTAATGCTGCTTCCTATTTCACCAAACATAACTTTCATGCTCAATTTCTACATAGTTTCAGTGAGAATGTTTGGGGCATGTGATAAGGCCAG